TTATTTGTGTTCTCATAAGGATACTCTATCTTCAGACAGATAGATATAGATAGATTTGTTGTTTTAGCAAAACTAGAATTATGTTTTACCTTGCTGAGTCTTTTTTTCTTTTTCTTTTTCATTTCATAAGATAAAATGTACAGCTTTCTAGATGAGAATACCTAAATCTATTTTCTTTTTAAGGATTAAATCTAGAGGTATATCAATTTTTATGTTTCATCTCTTGTAAATTATTAGGTTAATTCATTAAAGGTAAAGTATGTATCTTTTATAAGTTAGTATTATTCACAGTATTTAACTTTTTTTAGAGCGAGAGAGAAAGAAAGAGAGTCTTGTTCTGTCCCCCAAGCTGGAGTGCAATGGCGCAATCTCAGCTCACTGCAACCTCCCCCTCCTCTGCCCAATCAACCCTCCCACCTGAGCCTCCCAAGAACCTGGGACTACAGGCACATGCCACCATGCCTGGAAAATTTTTATATTTTTTATAGAGTTGGGGCCTCACCACATTGTCCAGGCTGGTCTTGAACTCCTGGGCTCAAGCAATCCACCTGCCCCACCCCCTACCCCGCCACCACAAGAGTGGTGGGATTACAGGCATAAGCCACTGCACCTGGTCATAGTATTTAACTTTTAATAGGTACATCATACATGTTTATTGAATGAATGGAGGAACAAATAACTACAAATCACTTAGACACCTTCTAGGAAAAAAAAAATCACCAACTAGGCTACGTGCAATTATGTTTCAAAATATAGCTAATCCAAAAATAAAAAAAAGAAATAACATTTAATGACAAGCATCAACACAATTAAACCACAGAGGAAGGGTGCTAAACAACAATTTCTTCCACATTTACAAATCTTTCTTTACAGAAAAATACATGCCTTAAAGAGAAAATGTACTCAAAAACATTCTCATCATTTCTGAGTTTGGTTTGTGTTAATGAATGTGTCCCTTAACTATTAATCTGCTTTGTCATCCCTTTGACTCCCTGCTATCTCATTAAGGTTGAAAAGGCAAAGGTCCACATCTTGTATAGTTTCATATTATCCAAAAGTATGAACTTAGGATAGGTATGTACATACTTTTGTACTCATTGTACCTTCTTAGCTGCAACTTTTTACCTTTGCACTTCTGAAATACAGCTATAATCACAACACGTCATTTGTTCCCATATAACATTTCATTTTTTCCACTGTATGTATTCTCTATATGCTCACAGTTAGTTTAGATGCTGCCTTAGGCTTGTTTGATATATACTGTGATTGCATACTGTAATTTTTCTCAAGCTTTATTTAAATGTGTCTGTGTGTATATAGTCTATATAATAAATTTGCATGCTTCCTCAGGTAGACTCTAGGCTCCACCAACATAGAAACCATATGTGTCTAGGCATGGGCAAGGACTTCATGACTAAAACACCAAAAGCAACGGCAACAAAAGCCAAAATAGACCAATGGATCTAATTAAACTTAAGAGCTTCTGCACAGCAAAAGAAACTATCAGTAGAGTGAACCAGCAACCAACAGAATGAGGAAAAAAATTTGCAATCTACCCATCTGACAAAGGGCTAATATCCAGAATCTACAGAGAACTCAAACAAATTTACAAGAAAAAAAAAAACACACAAATAACCCCATCAAAAAATGGGCAAGGGATATGAACAAACACTTTTCAAAAGAAGACATTTATGCAGCCAACAAACATATGAAAAAAAGTTCATCATCACTGGTCATTAGAGAAATGCAAATCAAAACCTCATTGAGATATCACCTCACACCAGTTAGAATGGCAATCATTAAATATCAGGAGACAACAGATGCTGGAAAGGATATGGATAAATGGGAATGCTTTTACACTATTGGTGGGAGTGTAAATTAGTTCAACCATTGTGGAAGACAGTGTGGCAATTCCTCAAGGATCTAGAAATAGAAATTCCATTTGACCCAGCAATCCCATTACTGGGTATATACCCAAAGGATTATAAATCATTCTATTATAAAGACACATGCACACATATGTTTATTGCAGCACGGTTCACAATAGCAAAGACTGGGAACCAACCCACATGCTCATCAATGATAGACTGGTTAAAGAAAATGTGGCATATATATACCATGGAGTACTATGAAGCCATAAAAAAGAATGAGTTCATGTCCTTTGCAGGGACATGGATGAAACTGGAAACTATCATTTTCAGCAAACTGACACAAGAACAGAAAACAAAACACCACATGTTTTCACTCATAAGTGGGTGTTAAACAATGAGGACACATGGACACAGGGAGGGGAACATCACACATGGGGGCCTGGAGGTGGGGGCCTAGGGGAGAAATAGCAGAGGGTGAGGGGATTGGGGAGGGATAGCATTAGGAGAAATACCTAAGGTGGATGATGGAGCGGTGGATGCAGCAAACCACCACTATGGCACATATGTGTCTATGTAACAAACCCGTACAATCTGCACATGTACCCCAGAACTTAAAGTATAATAATAATTTTTTAAAAAAGAAACCATATGTGTCTTATTCTTTATTATACCCTCAATGCCTAAGAAAGGTGCTGGAACATGGTAGGCATTCAATAAATAATTGGTAAATGAATAAATATATGATTCTGGTAGTTGATAAAGTGAATTTTTAAATTTAGAACTGTAAATGTAAATTAATGAATAAGATAAAGACAATGTGATTATTATTATTATTATTTTTGAGATGGAGTTTCGCTCTTGTTGCCCAGGCTGGAGTGCAATGGTGCAATCTCAGCTCACCGCAACATCCGCCTCCTGGGTTCAAGCAATTCTCCTGCCTCAGCCTCCTGAGTAGCTGGGATTACAGGCGTGCACCACCATGCCCAGCTCATTTTTTGTATTTTTAGTAGAGACGGGGTTTCTCCATATTGACCAGGATGGTCTCGATCTCTTGACCTCATGATCCACCCACCTCAGCCTCCCAAAGTGCCGGGATTACAGGCATGAGCCACCGCACCCGGCTCAATGTGATTATTTTTAAATAAACCGACAGGTCATGGAGATTTTAAAAATCAAATTCAGTCATATGGCCTTATAAAGTAAATGGAGAAAAACAAACACACTTAAACCAGTTGCTATGCAACAATCTTGCATGTTCTTCACATGTACCCCAAAACCTAAAATGCAATTTTAAAAAAAGTTAATTCATTTATTTATAAAATCATTTTATTTTCTAGGTGGCCAAGAAACAGTAGATTAAGAAGCAGCAATGAATTACAATCAATAAGAGACATCGAAGAAAGAAAAAACACATGTGCATACACATATAAGCTTAGAAGCTTGAGTATACTAAGCCTAATCTGATTCTTCATGATAAACATGGTCTGAATCAGATGGAGTAACCTGTAGTTCCCTTTGTCTACTAAATTATCAATAAACATTGATAATGATGATAAAGCATCTAGCGCTCCTTTACTGATATTGAGCTAAGGAGTTATTTCTACATATCATTACAAAGGCATATGATTAAGCTATGGTCCTTTATTTAGTCTTGAGGGGAAAATATGGCAGTTGTTTTTAGACATTTCTTAAAAAGAAAAAAAATGTTGGACTTAATCTGCCTTTCAAGCGTCACCTCCTGGCACTTCATGGTTCCATGAAGTGGAAATCAACTGACATTGACTTACCATGTGTAAAATTAAACCTTTCTTGCCATCACCTTTCTTGAGGACTCATTTTGCTGTTCACTAGTCATTCACATTTACATATGCCCATTTATACATTTGTGTCAATATGATAAAAGTGTCTCTCCTGTATTGTGTCTAATACTATTAGCCACTCTGTTGGAAAATTTACACCTCTTATCTCCTTTAATTTTCCTAGCAATCTCATAAGGTAGTTAATTTTACAGATGAAGTAACAAGCTCAGAAATTGAGTGGCCAAGTTTAGCACCCAAATCCTTTTGACTTCAGAGCTCAAACACTTGATTATTTTATATTACCTCTTAATACGATTGACTGCAGGGAAAATTTTAAACCCTTTCATTTCCCCCAATTTACTTTATTCATTAACAATCATTTATTAAACTACTTGAAAGGATCAGCCATGTAATCAACGTGTACATCCATATTAACTGTGCTATGGTTAATCTAATGTGAAAATTTTATTCATTGAATAAACATGTATTGTATACCTACTAAGTGCTAGGAATCATGAACAAGAATGATGTAATCTCTGGCTTTGAGTAGTTTACAGTTCACATAAAAGATATGAAATGCCAGTGTTGGCGAGTTTCCTACAAAATAAATCAACATAGATAAAGGCTGTCCTCTAGTGTAAAGCTGTGAAAACTACAACGAATCCAGTTTTCTTTCCTTTAATTTCTTTTCCTCTTAAATTACTTTTCTCCAAAGTTAAAACTGTAGAAGAACCTGGTTCTTCCCAAAAAAAGTTTTTAAAAGCTTTTACCTCATCATAAAATTCTCCCATACTCTGTGGAACCAGGGACTCATAGCATTTGCGGGGCTGGGGTTGATGTTTTCGGAGTAGTTTTCTGTCTTGAGCTTCCTCATTATATTGCAAACTAGTGAAAGGGATGGGATGGTAAAATTCTGGATCTCCTTGCAATCAATCCTTACATAATTTTTTGACTTCCATTTATTGAGGGCTTGTCCAGTATTTTGCGTAAATACTTATATCAATTACCTTATAAAACAATTTCAAATCAGCATCTCAGAGGCTGATTCAGCCCACTCAAATGTTTTGTTTGGCTCAGTGGAGTGTTCAGCTTTAAAAATCATCATATTTTATAAGTAATCGTAAGTTTCTAGCAGCTCTTTAATAAAAAGTAGGTGGTCTGGCAACACAGGACCACCTACACCTATGGCAGCACAACAGTCAGCTGGACAGGGTTAGAAATTGATCATAGATGTTTTACTGGCTGAAAGTTTAGCTTGGAAACATTTGCACACTTTTTTTTTTCTTTTTCCATGTAAAAATAAAGACTTTTACTTCTTTTCTCCCTTAAGAGACCATATCATATTCGCTCCAGTACTTCCAGCAAGGACATTGTACACATGTTTGAGACAGCTATTGTAACTTACCCTTCCGCCTGGTCACAGGAAATGGTGTCACTTCTTAAAAAGGTAAGAAGGAAGACGGCATGTCAAAAGGAAGCAACAAAAGGAAGCATGCTCTCTGATTTAAGTTTAGAAGTTAGTATACAAGATTGGGGACAGTCATGATAATATACATTTCTAGAGTGTATTTTCTAGCTGTTAGTTTTCAAATCCGTGGCTTAAGTCAACTCAGAAGTCCCCTTGGATGTCCCAAAGCAGTCTCAAACTCAATGGACTTTTTAATCTTTGTCTTTCCTGAATTTCTTCTCAGGAAATTCTCTCAGTGACTGGCTTCTCTATCCAAATCTACTTATGACAGCCAGAAGCAAGGACTCATTTAAATCTGTATATTCCATTCATCACCAGGTTCCGAAATTTTGTATTTTAAGTATAAAAATAGTTCACTTCTCTCTGTCCTTACTCCTGTTTCCCCAATCCAACTGCCACCAGTCTAGCCTTATAACTGGTTTGCCTCCATACGCTTTTACCACTCCATTCTATTCACCAGTCAACCCCATGGTGGTTCGTTAAAGGACAGTCCTGGGTTTTTTCCTTGTTCTTGAAATAAAGATTTAAATCATTTTATGGTACAAAATCTCAAAGTACCTCTCAAGCCTTATTTTGGACTTTTGGACTCTTGTTCCCCCTTTACACATAAACTGTTTTGGCCTTTTTCTTCCTCTTTTCTTTCTTTCCCCCTTCTTCACTTTTACATACCAGTCTTCCTCTCACCACAGGGCCTTTGCACATGCTAGTTCACGTTCCTTGAACATTGCCTCCAGTCCTAGTTCCTCCAGTTCCTCCTTGAGAGCAGTACTACTCAGTGTGTTTCACTGGTTCTAGTTCATGAATTGTTTTACAGGTCTATTGTAAGTAAAGAAATGGAGAGAAGCATTTAGAAACTTTTATAGCACTTGGACACTGCTGTAGCATCTAAATACATGATCAGTGCACTTGTCTTATTGAAGAGGGTCCAAGCTTGTTTGAATGATGTTGAATTCAAGTTACAAGGTGTCTATGTGGGTTGCTGCATACTGGCAATGTCCAATAAGACCACACACTGATTTCAGTGGATTGGAAATTGAACAGACAAAAGCAAACAAAAATAAATGAACCTTCTACATAGTTTGGGAAGCACAGCTTTAGCTCTTAGCTCAGATATCACCTTCTTGGTTTTCAGTTCAAAATTATGACCCGCAGTTTTGTGATCCTTGGGTTACTTACCATTTTCCACTTAGCTTCATGAGGGTAGGTACCATGTCTCACGTGTGTACCATGGTATTCTCAGCATCTAACACAGAGCCTGAGAAGTGAAATTTACAAGTATTTGAATAAATGAGGTCCATAGTTTTCATCAGATTTTCAAGGTACCCTTATTCGTCAAAAAGATGAAGAACAATTATAGTAGGAGCTCAGTAGTGTATACTGAGTGATGATACAAACAAGAATGAGGAGCCCAGAGGGATGGGCTTGGATTCTTTTCTTTTTAGGGAGAAAATTCTATGGGTTGTGGCTGGTAACAGAGAACAGCTTTTGAGGCTAAAGAGCCATCAACTCATCATTTGCGTCTCTTGGTTTTGGAGTCAAGTTCCCTATCTTGGAATAGGGACATTGTCATCAGTAATGTCAAAGATGTAGAATGGGGTATCATTTTCCATAAGCAAATTCTGCTTAGTTCCAAGACAGCCCTGCTTTACTCCATGAATTACACCCTGAAGTTTTACAGTTGTCATCTTCAGAAGCATTCTCAAGTGGGACTGACATTGCCTATTTGAGCCATACGAATGATGTGATGTTGGCTCAGGAATGGTTAAAGGGGGCAAAACCCTTTTATCCCAATTAGCAAAATCTAGAACACTAACAGTTACCTTAGTTATACCTTATCTACGCCACCCACAATGTATTTTAGTTAGTTGTAAAGACAGTTAAAATTCCTAGTATGAAATGAGTTTCACTTGTGAAAATGTATCAACATTTGTCACGATAGGTTTTCTACCAGGCACTTTATATAAAGCTTCCCACTAATCCTGACTGCAATCTTATGAAATGGATTATTATCCTTTTTTTTTCCACATATGAGTAAACTAAGATTTAGGGAACAAATTTGCCCTTAGTAAGTAGAGGAGTCAAGAATCAAAGATATATTTGACTTCGTAGGGCCAGCTATTTTTACCATCGCATTGCAGAATCCTACATACTGTTCATTCTAACTATGTATTATCTACATTGTTTATGGGATTAGGGATGGGGGACACTGCCTTTTTTCCTGCAGTCCTACACTTAAAATCTTTTAGAGAGAATTTGTATGGTTTTTTTTTTTTTTTTGTCCTAACCTTTTTTATGACCTTGATGTTTGTATTTTTTGACAGCTACTTGAACCTAATCCAGACCAACGATTTTCTCATTTGTCTGATGTCCAGAACTTCCCATATATGAATGATATAAATTGGGATGCAGTTTTTCAGAAGAGGCTCATTCCAGGTTTCATTCCTAATGTGAGTCAATCATCACAAACTCGTAATAACTCCCATTCAGTGCACATTGCTCTGGGTGCCAGTTTCACACATTGTCTCATCAGATAATCATGCCAGTGTTCTAAGAGAGCCCAATTCCCATTTTACAGATGAGAAAATTGAGACACACACAGGGTAAGTTTGTCACCAAAGGTCACAAAGCTAGCAAATAGTCAAGCTGGGACTCTAATCAGGGTATATTTGCAACTGCAGTTCCAGCTTCCAACCACTATTTATGGCACGTTTTTATTGAAAGGAAGTCCTAGTACTCCAAAGGGTCTCATAAATCTGCTGATATATTTTTTAAGTTTTTTTTTTTATTCTAAAGATGCAGAAGTTTGTGTCCCTGGAGATCTGTGAGTCAAAGAATTGAAAATTGTTTGAGTTGGGATGAGGAACTTATTTTACCCTTTGCTCCTCCTCCTTTGCTTGTTCTATCTCAGGGATTTATATTTGCAAGAACTAATAACCAAAGACATATAATTCCCATTGGATGGGTACTCAACCAATGGACCTCTATGGTCTACAGCATTCTGCTGGTAAGAGCCAGAATCCAGAAGCTTAGGCCAACAGTCCCAAGTGAGGCCTCTAGCTCCTCTCTGCCTAGAACTGGAATTATATGTTCAGTTGTAGGTATACTGGGCAGAATAAGAGACTTCTAAGGGGCCTGTAGAACCCATGCAGTTTTCTGTTTGGGCTCTTCATGGCATCTCAGGCCTGTAATCCCAATACTTTGGGAGGCCAAAGCAGGAGGATCAGGGGTTCAAGATCAGCCTAGGCAACATGGCAAGACTGTGTATCTACAAAAAAAAGAAAAGAAAATTAGCCAGGCGTGGTGGTACTTGTATGTGGTCTCAGCTACCTAGCAGGCTGAGGTAGGAAGATCACTTGAGTCCAGGAGTTTGAGGCTGTAGGAGCAGTGATTGTGCCACTGCACCCTAGCCTGGGTAACAGAGTGAGACCCTGTCTCAGAAAAAAAAAAAAAAAGTTTCTATTCTTAAGCCCAAGTGAGGCATTTGCTGTGGGAACGTGAGAGTGTGATCCTTCACGTACAAACAGCAGTTGGCATGCTCCAATGAAAAGGTCAGGGGAAAGTGTAAAGTAAGAGAAAGGAGAAAGTGTGGTGGAATTGTACCTTACGGAGCAAAGGGAGGATAGGTCTATGTTCTTACCTCTCCACTTTGCAGGGTTCAGCAGGGACAACTTGTACCATAATTGACACATGGCACAATAAAGGTCTAGGCACCACCAACTCTTGCTTCCTCTCCTTCCATGTGCTGCGTCCCTGCAATTAGCCATCAGTGCTGGCTCAAAAAGAGTTCTACGTTGTGCTTCCCTGACTTTAGTGTGAATCAGGATCATCTGGGGAACTTATTAAAGTGCAAATTCTTGGACCTCACATTCTGAAATCCAGATTTGGGAAATCTGGTTAGAGAACTGGGAAACTGAACAAGCAACTTAGGTGATTCTGATCTACATCTTTATTAGAACACACTTTGGGAAACATAACCCAAAAGCTTCCACTTTAGAATAACAATTGTAAGTTGGCTTTCATTTTACTCACAAAGGGCTAATTGAGAGTTTAGAAAAACAAACAAAGAATATGAAAAACAACATTTGCAATAAATAACATAAAACTTAGAGTGGGAACCCCAGCTTATTATTTATGAACTGCCGCGTTAAGACTAAGTCTTGTTTTCCATATTAGGTCTGGTTTGCTTTTTAGAATGATACAGGAATCTGATGATTGAGCCAACTGTCTTTCTTGCAGAAAGGCAGGCTGAATTGTGATCCTACCTTTGAACTTGAGGAAATGATTTTGGAGTCCAAACCTCTTCACAAGAAAAAAAAGCGTCTGGCAAAGAAAGAGAAAGAGATGAGGAAATGCAATTCCTCTCAGGTAAATAGGAACCCATCAAACTCAGGGTCATGGGCATCCCCATGATGGCTGCAATATCTTTGAGAGCTTCTAGTGGGAGGTCACTTCAGCAGCCTGCTTTTGCTGCTTGTTGGAACAGGAGAAGTTGAACCCCCAGGCTTCTAAAAGGGCAGACCAGAGCCGTTCTGAGGATCCTAGAAGCAACGTTTTACTGGTAGGCTGTCCCTCTAGAGCTCTGTCATTAACTTGACTCAGTTATTTTTCTCTTCCAGTTCTCAATTCAAAATTTATAAGTTTCCTGGGGGAGGGACTTTTTGGCCAAGTGTAGGTCAGAATACGGTTCATAAAGTTATGTTAAAGAGGCAGGTTTCAAAGTACACACATGGCTGCTTTGAGGAGTTGCTGGAAGCAGCCAACTAAAGATGGTGTCTATTCCTTGCCCCAAGTAGAATTTTATGATATCAAGCCTCACAGAAGAGTGTCTGCTCACAGGAACAATGGAATTCTAACATGGTGGAGCACCATTGCTGTATTTCAGGCTGAGTTAAATTAATTTTGTAACTAAGTATATTGTTCTGTGTCAGAGTCAGAGCTCGGGTTTCAGTGTAGTAACTTGCAAGCACTCAGTAGGATTTTATACTCACACGTGGCTCTATGAATTATAATCATGATGAAGTAATAAACATTCACTTTGCCTCTAAAAGCCATCTATCCATCCACATGACCATTCATCCATTCTTTCATCCATCCATCCATCCATCCATCCATCCATCCATCTATTCATCCATTCATTTAGGCTACTATTATTTAGTAACTGTTATCTGCCAGGTCCTGTGCTAAACATTGGAGTAAGAAATGATTGAGATATAATTTCTGTACTCAATGCTGTCCATTTTCTCAAAGATTGTGTAGTCTTCTGGTAAAGATGGCTCTGCAAAAAAAAAAATAAATAAATAAGTATCCTCCATGTGCTTAATTTCTCTAGTTGTCAGGCGCTACTAGATATTTCAATGGACAATTAACCAAAGTTCCCATCTGGGTCCTGTTTGACCACAGAACTGGCCTCTTGCCAGATTCCCTTCATGAAATGTTTTCTAGGACCTCCAAGGAATGCTTAACTCATCTTGCATGTTGCTTGTCACTGAACTATCTTCTTCCCAGTGGTCTGTTCTTCATGATCATGTCATAACCATCCCACTTCTCCAGACTCGCTCCTTCCCTTGACCCAGCAAAACTCAGCTCAAGCTGGATACAGGTCTCTCTGATAATAGGACCTAATGTGTAGTAAAAACCAAGAGATCATATTTACTATACATTTTAAAAATTTTAGAAATAACTGAGCAATTTGGGAATAACTTTTGACCATGTCTACCATGCTCAACACGATCTGCCCATCTTTGTACTATCCCGCTCAGATCCTCACTTAAAACCCTCCAGCTGGCCGGGTGCGGTGGCTCACACCTGTAATCCCAGCACTTTGGGAGGCCGAGGCGGGTGGATCACGACGAGGTCAAGAGATCGAGACCATCCTGGTCAGCATGGTGAAACCCCATCTCTACTAAAATTACAAAAAATTAGCTGGGCATGGTGGCGCGTGCCTGTAATCCCAGCTACTCAGGAGGCTGAGGCAAATTGCCTGAACCCAGGAGGCGGAAGTTGCGGTGAGCCGAGAGCGCGCCATTGCACTCCAGCCTGGGTAACGAGCAAAACTTCATCTCAAAAAAAAAAAAAAAAAAAAAAAAAAAAAAAAAAAAAACCTCCAGCCTCACAGGCACTGCAAACGTCTCACTCCCAAGCAGTGAGCTTTTTGTTCTTCTTCAGTGCCCTTGCTCTTCTCTGTTCCTGAAATGTTCTTCTCTTGCATCTTCCCATAGAGGGCCTTCGCTCATTCTTTGTACCTTAAATGTCACCTTCTTATTTCTGTTGTTGAATTACAGGAATTTTTTATTTTTATTTTTTTAACGTATTCTGGCTATTGGACCCTTATCAGCTATACGAACTGTAAATATTTCCTCACTTATTCATTCTATGAAACCGGTGTTACCCTGATTCCCAACTGGACAAAGACATCCCCAAAAATGGTAATTACAAGCTGATATCTCTTATGAATGTAGATGCAAAAATCCTTAACATACTAGCAAGGCGTTCAGCTGGCTTTTGACTTAAGATGTTTCTTCTTTTTTAATACCAGTGTTTATAGCTATAAAGTTTCTTCTGAGCACTGCCTTCACTTATCCCATAAGTTTTGAGATGTGTTTTGTTTTTAATTTATCTCTAAGTCTATTCTGATATCTCATGTGATTTATTTTTTGACTCATTGTTTAAGAGTATGTTATTTAATTTCCACATATTTGTGAATTTTACAGTTTTCCTTCTGTTATTAATTCCTACCTTCATTTCAATGATTTTAGTCCTCTTAAAATTTTTGAGAACTGTTTTGTGGTTTCCTTTAACTTTGAGCATATTCAAGACAATTGTTTTAAAATCTTACTCAAGAAAGCTCAATGTTTGGGCTTCTGTAGGAACAATTTCTGTCCATTTATTTTAAGTCTTTAAATGGTGATACTTTCCTGTTTCTTTGTGTGACTTGTGATTTTTTTTTTTTTTTTTTTTTTTTTTTTGCTGCTGTTGGATACTTAACATTTGAATATTACAGTGTGGTAATGCTGGAAATCAGATTCCTCCTTTCTTCATGGGTTGCTATTTTTGATTGTTGAAGACTGTAGTTGTCCATTTTTTAGTGACTTCTCCAAAAAATGTTTGCAAAGATTGTCTTCTTTGTTGTGTCATCACTGAAGTCTCTGTTACTTTAGCTTGTGCTCAACTAATGTTTTGACTGAGATTTAACACCAGGAACATTTTTAAGTTGTTTTTCTTTTCTTAACTTAGTATTCACTTGGTTCCGGTAAACCTTTGACTGCTTTCTGGAGTTTTGACAAAACTGGTTTTGACAGTATCTGCTTGTTTTGTGGGTTTTTTTTGCAAGATGGGAGCTTGGATCTGCTTATGTCAGCATTTTTCTCTAGATTCTTCTAATTTTTCCCCCACGTTCAAAAATAAAAGGTATTTTTCTTCAAAATAAAGAATAGTCTTTCCTCCAATAAGTATCAGAAAGATTATGAACTATCTTTCCAATTATTCACTCTATCTTCACTCTTTTACATTAAGGCTTTTAAAATGTGAGGGTCAATCTTACCTTATTATTAACATGTTAATTAATTAATTAATTCAAATGATCATAAAGTTCCTGCTATGTTAGGAAATGTTTCTGACTAGGTGGTCAATGCCATGGTTAGATACACAAAGTGCTCTAGGAATTGCTCACTGGACCTTAGAGAAGGGTTAGGATAGGCTTTCCAGAGGAGGCAACTTTTGATCTGGTTCCTCTAGACTGAACAGAAATAAGTGAGGATACAAGAAAGGACAAGAGCATTTTAAGGCTGGCACATCCTCAGGATAGAGGTAGATCATTAGCGTTTCAGAGGGGATAAAATGACAGGTGGTTGCAGATCCTAGGAATTACCCATGCTGTGTTCAAAAGGTTGTGACATTCCTCATCCTCCATTCCTTTAATCTTATCTAGAGGCATTCACCAAAGTCATTCTTTCAGCCAAATCTAACAAGAACATCCACCATGTCAATATCATGTTATCTGTAGCTTAGCCTCATTTCCTGCCTCACTGTGTATAGCTCATAGTCACCTTGTCACGCTAGGGCCAAATTCATCACTGTGTAGGTACCACCTTAGAAAAGAGTCAAGTGTTGGTAGGGGAATTCCATTCAAGCCACAAGCCTAGAAAAGGAGCTCTCTATTCTGAGTTCTCTCTTCTGTTCCACTGGTCTCTGACCCTATACCAGTACCATGCTGTTTTGGTTACTGGAGCCTTGTAGTATAGTTTGAAGTCAGGTAGTGTAATGCCTCCAGCTTTGTTCTTTTTGCTTAGGATTGTCTTGGCTATTTGGGCTTCTTTTTGGTTCCATGTGAATTTTAAAATAGATTTTTCTAATTCTGTGAAGAATGTCAATGGTCATTTAATGGGAATAGCATTGAGTCTATAAATTAATCTGGGAATATGGCCATTTTCATATTGATTCTATCTGTGAACATAAAGTTTTTTTTTTTACTTGTTTGTGTCGTCTCTGATTTGCTTGAGCAGTGGTTTGTAGTTCTCCTTGAAGATGTCCTTCATTTCCCTTGTTAGCTGTATTCCTAGGTGTTTTTGTAGCAATTCTGAATGGGAGTTCATTGATGATTTGGCTCTCCACTTGTATATTATTGGTGTCTAGAAATGCTAGCAATTTTTGCACATTGATTTTGTATCCTGGGCCTCAGTATTTTAAAATTTACTTCAGGCAATTTTATGTATGCAGCCATAGCTGACATATACTGTTATAGATCCTAGGCTGTGATAAGCTAGAGGAGCATAACTAAAGTTTTACATTTTTCTCATGTCTCAGTTTCCTCATTTATCAGTGGAGCTGGTATGTGTATCAACTTCACAGGCTCGTTCTGAGTAAGTTAGTGCATGTAAAGTGCTCCGCGGAATGTTCGCTGTTGTGGTGCTTTCCTTTCGACTGCACTTCCTGACTCCTAGACTTTCTTTTCCTTGGCTCTTTTCATGCTCACGTCAGATGCCTCGGTTGTTTCTTTCCCCCCAGAATATCCTCCACTTTTTCTCTCTCGGCTCAACATCTTGAAAGTATGGAATCAACAGACTGCTATGCCACCTAATCTATCTGCCTGTGGAGGCAAATTCCCTGAATCCTCTTGTTCTCCTCCTGAGATTTCCACCTGCTCTAAATTCTTATGACATTTCTAATGCCATCTCCAGCTATGATACTTTAATCACTGTTTCCTCTGCTCATCCTAATAGGTGAGTCCTAAGATTTTTACTTCTGAGTCACATATGATCCATTCGTGATTAGTCCTTCATTCTTCTTGCTTCCCCCTTACTTCATATTCTCTTTTTGGCGACTCCACTTAATGTATCCCTTTGGCCACACTTCTTAAACTTTTCCACCTAAAGCAGAGGAAAGAGAACATGTTGAACATGAACCCTTTACAGATCATGGGGTCTGAAATGTCACAGCACAAAGTTATCTTCAAGTGTACATTTCGTATCTTTGGTTAAATCAAATAATTATATGGTAGAGGGAAAAAAATCCATGTGGATTTTTGCATGTCACTCAATTGTAACCTTGATTTTTAATACTAAAAAATATTTTTCCTAAAATCTTGGGGGAAAAGTGTTGCTCCGAAGAGCTTTTGTCAGATTATGCTTATCCTGTAGCTGCCTGTCCCCTGTGGCCCATACTGGAAACCCTCAGGATTACAAATGCTTCTGTTTGCAAATAAGAGTGAAATACAACAAAGCTTCCTCTTCTCCTTTGTCTTGTTCCCCATCCCCTTTTGTGCTTTAGATTGTTTCCCTCCTGTCACCTAAATAAGTACTCAGAAAACTCTCAAGAACTGGAGACCTTAGCATATTCTAATTTCTAGATTTAAAAAAAAAAATTTAATGACTGAATAATTTTTTTAAAGAATAATATTTTTCATCAGAAGAAATTTGGAAGCATTTTGCTGCAGACTTTTAAAATAATCGATCTAAGTTTAATTCTGTCCTGGGACTGGTAATCATCTTTTTTTGAGACTAAATTTTTTCATTATGATGGAAAAGTCATCAATAGATGTTGAAAGCTGGACAGTACAGTGTCAATGCTCAGCACGTCTGCAAGAAAGTCACAAATAAAGAAGGCTCTGCTGACTAGAAGAGAAGGATTTTTAATCCACTCCAGTACCATTGTTGAGGAGAACATTCTGTCATTATTCGGTATAGAGATGTTTTTACACTATTCACCAAATCCAGGTAGAACCTCCAAGACAAATTTACAATAATACTAGCTTTTAGATTAATAATTGCTTTTTAAATATGTATTAGGCTTTTATGTAGAAAACAAAAAGGAGTTATAAACTGTTGTTACAATAATCTTGGTTTTTGTAATTGTCCAATGTATCTACACTTACTGAGAGCTTTATTTCTCTATATAGGTTCAAGTTACTGTCTCATGTCCTTTTATTTTACTTGCAGGGCTCCCTTGGGCATTTCCTGTTCATTTCCACTAGGACAGGGAAATTCTAGTGGTAATGAACTTCCTCCGCTTTTATCTGGAAACATCTTTGTTTCTCTCTCACTTTTCAGTTCACCAGTTGTAGGATCCTTGGTTGACAGTTTTTTGTTTGTTTGTTTGTTTTCATTTAGCACTTTAAAGATATCAGCCCACTGTCTTCTGGCCTCCAAAATTTCAGATGAGAAATCTGCTGATCATCTTATGATGTGTATGACAAGTCACTTCTCTCTTGCTGCTTTCAGGATTATCTTCTTGTCTTTGGCTTTAGGAAGTTTGATTACATTGGTTGGGCATGGTGGCTCACAGCTGTAATCCCAGCACTTTGGGAGGCTGAGGCAGGCAGAATACTTGAGGCCAGGAGTTTGAGACCAACATGACGAAACCCCATCTCTACTAGAAATACAAAAATTAGCCAGGTGTGGTGGTGCACACCTGTAATCCCAGCTACTTGGATGGCTGAGGCAAGAGAATCTCTTGAACCCAAGAGGAGGAGATTAGAGTGAGCTGAGATTGTGCCACTGCACTCCAGACTGGGTAAAAGAGTGAGACTCCATCTCAAAAAAAAAAAAAAAAAAAGTTGATTATATTGTGTCTCAATGTGAGTCTTTTTGAATTTATCTTACTTGGGCTGCACTGTGCTTTTTTGGATTTAGGGGCTCATACCTCTTAGCTATGATTTTTTTACATATTCTGTTTTTCTTTTTCTCTCTCTTCTCTTCTGGAAATTCCACAGTACACACACTGGTTTGCTTGATGAATACATCAAGCAATAGTGAACAGACTCTACTGCAAGCTTGTCCAACCCATAGCCCATGGTCCACATGTACTTCAGGATGGCTTTGAATGTGGCTCAACACAAATTCATAAACTTTATTAAAACATTGGACAAGCTTGGACAAGGTTGGAGAAGCTTGCTGTAGGGTCTGGTCACTATTCCTCAGTCCACACATTCTGTAGGCCAGGGATGTCCATTCTGTTGGCTTCCCTGGGACACATTGGAAGAAGAGGAATTGTCTTAGGCCACACATAAAATACACTAACACTATCGATAGATTTGATGCACTAAAGAAAAATCACCCCCAAAAAATCTCATAATGTTTTAATAAAATTTATGAATTTGTGTTGAGCCACATTCAAAGCCATTCTGAGGTACATGTGGCCCACGGGCTATGGGTTGGACAAGCTTGCTGTAGGGTCTGGTCATTATTCTTCAATCTTTTTTCATTCTGTTCCTCAGACTCAATAATTTTCACTGTCCTGCCATCAAGTTAGATGCTGATTCCTTCCTTTGCCTGCTCAATTTTGCCTTTGAAATCTCGTAGTGAATTTTTAAATTTCAGTTATTGCATTTTTCAGCTCAAGAATTTCCTTTCAGTTTCTTTTTAGGTTTTCTATCTTTTTATTAATATTTTACTTTTTTTGTACTTCATTTTCTTGATTTTCTCTATATCTTCCTTTAATTCTCTGAGCATCTTAAAATGGTTGTTTTGAAGTCTTTTTCTAGTAGATCTACTATTTGATCTTTTTAAGGGGTAACTTCCATTCATTTACAGTTTTTTGATTGTGAACGAGCCGGTTTTTTTATTGTATTGGACACTTGAATCTAATAATGTGATAGATCTAGGAAAATCAGATTTTCCCCCATCCCCAAAGTTTGCTGTTTTTTGTTATTGTTTTTATTTTTATTTTTTTTATTATTGTTGTAAGTGTCTGCATGCTGAGGATCAGCTTGAGGTGTAAACATTGGGTCTTCTTAGATCTTTTCTGAGCCTATACCTTTCCCTGGGAATGTGCAGTCACTTTCTAATTTCCCCACATATGCTGTTGTTTTTGAAGGTCCTTGTCTTTCATGTGTGGTTTCCAAAAGAAGGAAAGGAGAAAATGAAGGGAGGGAAAGGTGCTGGCCCACTGATTCTCCTAGAAGTCGCTACAGCCTGAGGGAGAGTGGCTTGCAACAGCGTGCAGGAGGTGCGGGAGGTGCAATAACTGTAAAGCTTTGCATTGGCACCCCTGTGATCAGAAGAAGCAGCAGTGATGGGAGCACCTATCCTTAGTATTTGGAGAACATGATTCTTACTTTCCACGCTGGCTCCTACAGGCTGAGTGCAAACTGCTCCAGAACATGCGTGTGCTCAGCTCCCTCCCATGGGCTAGAGGATAATGGCTGGATGGCTGCTGCTGTGCTAAGACCTTAAATTGGCCATAATTAACTGCACTTTGCCACCCAAGCCTTCCCTGAAAGTTGCAAGCTTAGAATAGACTCCAGAATTCTAAAATAGTGACATCAGACAGATTCTGCCAGTGCAATGGCTGTCTAGGAAGGAAGACCGGTTCTTAATGCTTCCTATCCTGCCAGCTTCCCAGAATCTTCTTCACATAGCATCCATTTTGAAAGTACTTCTCAAGTTGGGGCTATTCATTGAATAAAGTGTCAATAGGTTATTGGAGGTTTGAGGATCCTCATCTGTCTGCTAACTATACCTCTATTTTTTTTTCTATGTTCACCTGGAAGACATGTCTTCTTCAAGAGCACCTTGACTCTGTCCAGAAGGAGTTCATAATTTTCAACAGAGAAAAGTAAGTAATCCTTGGAGAACAACAGCCCCAGAAATGATGGCGTGTTTCAGCCAAACTTCACTTGCAGAGAAAATATATTTTTAACCTTTTTGAAAAATTGGAAAAAATGACATTATCTATTATAGAAAATTTATAAACTTTTTTGTAAGGTATTTAAAATTTTTTAATTGATAAATTAGCCTAGGATCAAGTTTTTTTATGGGAAGGGAAGAGAGATTAGGATTTAAACACTTAAATATCAAAGTCTTTTAGACGATTTACTTGAATCATGCTTGTTTATAAATTATTGGGCTTAATGTTATTTCAAAAGCTTAAACTTTTCATTTTCTTTTTCAAAGAATAAAACCTCTTTTTTTTTTTTCTTTTTAAGAGTAAACAGGGACTTTAATAAAAGACAACCAAATCTAGCCTTGGAACAAACCAAAGACCCACAAGATGAGAATGGTCAGAATAACAACCTGTAAAGGCCTCATGTCTTCTTCTTGGGACAATCTCATGCCAGGAACTTCTAATTACAAACGTCAAGAAAAGCTGACAGTAGTTCTTACCACTCCACACATCATGACTTAGAAAATGTGAATGAATATCTTTCAGAACAGGCACGACACAGTGAAGGATCCTGGGCCTGAGCTCCTGGGATGTCATTTCATACCAATCAACTGTGCGATCTAGAGCAAAATCACTCAGCCCCTTTCTGTGCTTTATTTATCTAAAATGAGAGGGTTGCACTAGACGAGCCATACCCTGCCTTTTTTGTGTTGTGTTACTCTAAACAGCCTTTATTTTTATTTTAAAATGAATATATGAATGTAGATTTACTTTTTCACTCTTTCTAATTACGTAGTGACAAATGGACAAACAGACATGCCACTCAAGGAGACTTTTCAGACCTAGAAAATTTTACAAAGTGGTCGGAATCCCCCAGCCTACTTGGATGAGGATAAGGAATTCTATCAGGGAGGCATGGATAGGATCAGATTAAAAGTAACATGGATTGGATGAGGGTCTTCCAGTGGTGTGCTGGAGTCAGCATCAGATTTGCTTATCTCAGAGGACTTGAGCCTGCTGTGCACGTCACTTCCCAGCTCCCTCTTCAGCGATGTGAAGGGGGTGACTTGAAGTTGGTAATAATGGGAGTATTTACACCATGAAAACTGGCAAATGCTAGTTTCTTCCCTCCTAGAAGCCAGTTGCTTAATATTAGCACACTGCTCTCCTTCCAGGAAGCATGTTCCTTGAGGGCTAATTGTCCCCTCAATATTGGCAGAGAACTGTATCTGGAGAGGACCAGAAGAGAATGTCATCCCACTGAAAGTATGTTCACTTTGCAGTTCAGCAAAGGTGCATCTTTCATGGGAGTTATAGTCTAAGTAGAAATGAATTTAGAAGATAGTAAAATTTCCCATAAAAACCCCTTAAATTACTCATAACATACAGGAAGTATCTTTTTTTTTCTCAGTGAAGCCCAATACAGTGTCACCCTTCACTAATGAAACAAGTCATTGTTTCTGTTTCGTTTTGATTTAGGTATTTTTATTTTTGGTCTCATTTTGGCTAATACGAGATGAGCTAAAATGTTGCTAGACTAGAATTACTCTTTTTTTTTTCCTTTCAGGCACAGTCTCACTCTGTCACCCAAGTCGGAGTGCAGTGGCATGATCTCTGCTCACTACAACCTCTGCCTCCTGGTTTCAAGTGATTCTTGTGCCTCAGCCTCCTGAGTAGCTCGGATTACAGGCATGTGCCACCATGTGTAGCTAATCTTTTGTATTTTTAGTAGAGAAAGGGTTTTGCTATGTTAGCCAGGTTGGTTTCAAACTCCTGGCCTCGAGTGATATGCCCACCTTGGCCTCCCAAAGTGCTGGGATTACAGGCATGAGCCACCACACCTGACCTTAGAATTACTCTTAGACCAATGGAATGCCTGCACATCCAAGAGGGGCAAGTTCATGGAGACTAAAGGAACAGGGGTATCATGTCTCCCTCTTACCTTGTGTTTACTACAAGAATGGTAAGCACAATTGCCTACTTATTTAAAATATCGCTGATGGCTCACTTTTTCTTTCTTTCTTTCTTTTTTTTTTTTTTTTTTTTTTTTTTTTTTTTGAGACAATCTTGCTCTATCACCCAGGCTGGAGTAAAGTGGCACAATCTTGGCTCACCACAGGCTTTGCCCCCCGAGTTCCAGTGATTCTCCTGCCTCAGCCTTCTGGGTAGCTGGGATTACAAGTGCAAGGCACCACACCCAGCTAATTTTTGTGTTTTTAGTAGAGACGGGGTTTCACCATGTTGGGCAGGCTGGTCTCGAACTCCTGACCTCAGGTGATCCACCCACCTCTGCCTCCCAAAGTCTTTATATTTCATTGATTGATTTCCCAAGCACAAAGTTTAATTCACCTAAGTGTGATGTGCATATGATGAAACTCCACTGTACAGACACACAGATCTTTGCAGAACTATTTTTGGCAATCCTTATGCCCCTGGGTAGGCTCAAGAAGTGAACAGGTTTGGTGCGGGATTGTTTTCACCTCCTGGCTACTCACTGTACCTAAACCTATCTTTAATTATGGAGAGCATGTGTCTCACCAAGATGGCATAAGCTGGCAACAAGAAAGACCTGACTGATGCCCGTTTGGGAAGCCAAACAAGTGGGAACGAGTCAACGAAACAGAGATGGCTGCCTTTTATGCAAGGCTTTTCCATAAAGAGGTTACACTGGGGCAACCAAGAATGAGTAGAAAGCCCAAGCTAAACTTTAGCTTGGCATTCACCATTTTCTCCTCACTGAGCGAATAGGCCCTAGCTTCGGGCAGAGCTGTGAAATGGTGCCTCTCTAAGAGCAACCATAGTTTCATCACATCATTAAAAGCCAGCTCTTTTGTCGTATGATTCCTTTTCCCTACAGTTCCCATGTCATGTGTGCTATTCTGTTTTTCTCCAAACACTATACACTTGAAGCACTTGCCCTGACTTAGTTTTAGAGAGGAGATGTGATTGAAAGAGCAAGAATAAGAAAGTGGCCAGATTCTGCTGCAGTCTGGTAACCCTAAGAGTGTCAGGGACCACTTGCCTGTTTACTTCCATCCTTCGTTTGTTTTGATTCAAGCCCTGATGTGCTGTGGACTTACCTCCCTAAGTAATCGGGTTCCTCCTCTGGCTGTGACCTTCACTGCATCCTTCCCAAGGAGACACTTTGGGAAGTTTTACTGTATTTATGCTTACCAAAGAGCAGTGGAAGCATTAGGATCTCCATCATGATGAGAGTTAAGCCATACTGCCATTTCACACGTATACATTTATAATCGGATGGGAACCCAATACAGTCTGTGTAGTCTGAATCCCTAGTTTTATTTCCAGTGAGCTGCTTCTGTGACTGAAGCACTTCTGTGGGCTTTTAGGAACCATGGATGTGCAGATGAGAGAGCACAGGCTCAGAGAGTAAGATGGATTTCTAGTGCTAGGCAGGTGAACGACACACTGTGTTTCAAGTTCGAAAAGCAAAACCCTGGTATCTGACAGTGCAGAACTACTGATTCCAAGCACCTCGCACCATGGTGCATTTTAAACCTGAGAACAAAAACCTTTCCCAAAATTTAAAACTTTTCCTAAATCCTTATGATTATTCCCAGTTGTTGAGATTGGATGCTTTGGTTTTATTCAATAACTTGGGCTAAATGTTAATATCCCAATAGGTGGAACACGTCTCTTCCAGAGTCATGATAACCAAGGCTCAGAGCTGTGATTTTAGAAAACAAGATGACTATTAAATCCTTTTGCCTGGTACACCTGAATCTTTTTCTCCTGGCAGCTTCCCTTGCCTGTATGGAGCATCTGAAAAGTCTGAGCAGATTCTGAAGTCCAGGAGCACCCCGGCTATAAGGCTCTTGCACTGTGACAAAGCTGCCCATCTCCAGTGCAGCCTGGGTGACCTCTAGTAGATGGGTGGGGGCAGTTAAGCCCTGCCACTTCTGCCACAGTCCTAATTCCATGGAAGAAAGTGTTCTGCTAATGGCTAATCCACTTCCATGGTGACCTGGTTTTGCCTGAGGTAATGCTAGGAATGAAGATCGACCAGCACAGAGCATTGCTAAATTAAGTATGGTAATCTAATTCATTAATGATTAGGTTTCTTCTGTTAGTAAAGTTTTAACCAGAATCAATTAGATGTTCTATTATCATAGCTTTTGTAGATTGGATGGATGAATAAGTAGGGAAAGAGTATTAATGTAGCTGGTAGGAACCAGTGTTGCTGCTTGCGGCTGACGTAGTAACGCTAAGGCTTTAGCTCTTCAAAAGCTGAACGAAAAGGCATGAAAAGCATTGCAAGTTTGTTTCAGTATCTAGTTGTCCCTGTATTGTCTACACAAATCCTATTTCCTGCTGCGATTCCTGTTTATTACACATTCCATGTGTCCGACTGATACTAAACACTGATAGTAAAATTGCAAACCTCACTTATCTGTGCTGTTGTGAACAGGTAGCTGACCTGGAGCCCTCGAATGGAAAACAAGTGCTTCTGTTGAGCTGTAGCATATACAATATAAATGTGCCTATGTGTATTAAAATGTCTTCTGTAAACAGTGAGCCACTGACCCTTCTATCAACTGTGTGTGTGTGTGTGTGTGTGTGTGTGTGTGCACGCGTGTGTGTAATTGTTTTCCCAAGAGATAGCACTGGGGGTGCCCAAAGTAACCTGTTCTTATGTCTCTTTCCTGCTGTGAGGAATGTCCCTTACCAGGAAATAATATTCTACAACAGAGATGTGGAATGCAGTACAGCTTACCTGATCCACATGTATAAAAACTAAAAAACCTGACCCCTCCAATATTCACATCTCAGGGAACATAGCCCAGAATTCCAGTCTCTGCCTTTCACTCTGCCCCTCAGTCCATGGGCAGCCTATGCACGTCTTTCTTCAGCACTCTGCCTTCCTACCCCTCAACATCCGTGCCCCAATCCATCTACCGAAGCAGCAGGTAAATGTTCTAAGGTCCATAATCTGGGACCGAAATTAATGGGCAGCTCTGAACTCTTGCAGCTAAAAGCTACCTGTCTCAGGAGAGAACAAAGGAAACTGTCACCCCTATTAGACCCACAGTGGGTGGGCAGCCAGCAAGCCACTGGCTCCCTGGGCTTGTCCTGAAATAGCAGGGTCTTCCAAGTTTTGTGGCCTCCAAAGTCCTGCATGCGAAGTACCCTGGTGTCCAGGTCACGTTAAGTGTCCTGTTGTGCGGTCCAGCAGCCATCTGAGCAAAGGGCAGGATCTAGAACTCTTCAGATTCTGAAGAGTACCCGCCTTAAGCATGTGATCTCATTTTCGCAGGTTACTTTGGCCTTTTTATCCCCCGTCTCCTGCTCATGGGTGGGGTCTCCTTTGTGACGAGTTGGTGGTAGAAGAGCTGATTCCAGAAAGTTGTTTGGAACCAGAGGGCCCTTGTTAGTCCTACTAACAAGGAGTCGTCTCATTCTCCACCTGGCCCACCTGACTCAGCCACTGAACACTTCCAGCCTGAAGGAAGAGATGTGAAAGTCAAAGTGTATGTTTCACCGTATAAAACGAAAACCACTTCATCCCTTTCGGATTCCTGCATCCTGAGTTTAAGTGCTGACTATTCCCTTGAAACCCAGTCAAATCCTAAACAGAGCTCAGCTGCTGCCTTGGTCATGAGCAGGGAGAGCTGTTTCACCAATCCTGAGCTAGAGCCATAAAACGGGTCTATAAACAAAAGCTTATAAAACATCAAAACTTGAACTTCGACTGTAAATAATTCTTTATGCACTTAAGAGTAGCTGTTGATTGGGATTCTGAGCTTCGGTGTTAAAAGGTATAATCACTCTATGCTCCTGTAACAAGGGCATTGTCCTATCAAACCCACAGGAGCTCATCACGTACAAAAGCAATTAATCAGAAATGACCATCCCCCGGTATCCTATCTCCTCCCCTGTCCGTCCCAACTTCACATCACCAGGCAAAACATTCACGCCCTGCAAGTTTGTGATGGGTGCCACGGCCACTGCTCTTTTTTGCCTTCCTTGCATGGCTCCCTCTTCAGTTATCACAAATTGATTTTCTTTGTGGAGCTACTCGGAGTCCATGTGGTTCAGGTGGCTCAGAGGCTGGGTATGTTAACCGGTGTGTCCACTCAGTCCCATGTGCTCTTCTGGCCACAGTGACTAACTAGGTCAATGGTAAGCATATGCCCCTAAGCCAGACGGAATCAGTCTTTTTGGCGGGAACTACTGAGGGACTCCCTCCGTCTTCGGAGGTTACTAAGCAGGTGAAGTGAAAACCTGGAGATGTTGACAACCAACTTTGTCCCACATAAAAAGAGCTTTCTTGGCCAGGCGCAGTGGCTCACACCTGTAAGCCCAGCACTTGGAGAGGCCGAGGCAGGCAGATTACTTGAGGACAAGAGTTGAAGACCAGCCTGGACAACATGGTGAAACTCTGTCTCTACTGAAAATGGTGTGTGGTGGCATGTGCCTGTAGTCCCAGCTACTCGGGAGGCTGAGGCAGGAGAATTGCTTGAACCCAGGAAGTGGAGGTTGCAGTGAGCCAAGATGGCACCATTGTACTACAGCCTGCAACAGAGGGAGACTCGTCTCAAAAAAAATAATAATAAAATAAAAATTTTTTAAAAGCGTAGCTTTCCTTCATTTACTGAAGGCACACAGGGCCTTCAGTGTGGAAAGAAGCAACGCTCTGATGTCAGGGTCTAGCACCTGGATCCAGCTACGCTGGAGTCTGCCTGATTGAACGATGTGGTTGCACCTGACTTTAAAATTCCACTTTCCAATCTCCCCCCAGGAAACTAGTTTAACCTTTGCAATGAAAATATGATCTGCACAACTAATCGCAAGTGGACTCAGCAGTGTTTCCCTCAAAGGGGTGTAGTGTAATAACTTTGGTGGGGGCCGGGCGCGGTGGCTCAGCCTGTAATCCCAGCACTTTGGGAGGCCGAGGCGGGTGGATCACGAGGTCAAGAGATCGAGACCATCCCGGTCAACATGGTGAAACCCCGTCTCTACTAAAAATACAAAAAATTAGCTGGGCATGGTGGCATGTGCCTGTAATCCCAGCTACTCGGGAGGCTGAGGCAGGAGAATTGCCTGAACCCAGGAGGCGGAGGTTGGGGTGAGCCGAGATCGCGCCATTGCACTCCAGCCTGGGTAACAAGAGCGAAACTCCGTCTCAAAAAAAATAATAATAATAATAATAATAATAATAACTTTGGTGGAATGTTCAGGAGGCAGAAGTTCAAGAACCCCAAATTGGGCAGAGTTTGAAAGACTTCTTTATCATAGGATTTCTCAGTTTTCAAGTTGCTGGTATGTATCTGAAAGCTCTCAGAAGAGTGGACACAGCAAATAATTCTTCTGAACCCTCGTCTGACTCCTTGGAATCCATTCACTAAAGAATATACTTTGGTATGGGCATAGTTTGAGTTTTTCTCCTAGTCTAGGCTATTAAAGAGAAGCAGAAATGCTTACAAAACAATCAAATAGCAAGGCTTTAGGGGAATGACCAAAGAAACCAAACCCCAAAACAAAAAGCATTAAGGCTCTGTTCTGGACTCAGCTAGATCTATCCCAAATGGCACATAATACTAAATCTGATGATCCACAGAAGAAAAAACACTTACTCATTCTCCAAAGTTTTAAAATGGCCATCAAGCTTGGTGGCCAAAACTAACAACTCGATCTCAAAAATAGAAGCCCCCAAGTTTTCTCCAGATAACTCTGTTATCACCAGATCTGCCTTCCCCTCTTCCTAACCCTTTCAGATCTACTGGGCAATTTTAATATTACAGATGAAAAGGCACATCACACAAAGACAAAGACTGGAGAACAATGTTGGTAATTTCATAGTTATTTTAATAACCAGGTTTACATTAACAGTCACTTGATGATTTTTTTTTTCTTTAATCTCAGCTAAACTCAAAACACAGTTTTCTTCACGGTTCAAACCAAACAGCTCTTCACGTTCCAGAGCTGCCTCACAGCTAGCACAGATCACGGGAGATTTACTGTCTGTCCATATCCACCAGACACAGAACTGAACACCCACACACCAGTTTTCAAAGAGGGAACTTACAATAATGCTGGCTGCCCAGGGCAGCCCATGAGTGTATCTGGGACTCAAGCTGGAGTTTTCCAGAGGAAAAAGCCTGAGAAGCTTGTGGCAATGAAGATGAAAACTGCCCACCCTGTTGGAAAGGGCTTCTCAGCGATGACTGAAAATCCAGGATCAGGCGACAGCCCTTTGTGGAAGCGTGACACTCTGGGTATAGTCATGAAGAACAAGGCTGAGGGACTTTGAAGGAAACCCATTTTCAGGATGACTATAATCCTATCTCTAGAAAACTTAGAAGTAAAAGAAATATCTCTACTAGGGGTAACTGATTTAACAATTTCACAAACACCCTCCTTACTACCCAAGCCCGTGGCCCTCAGAGGGAACCAGGACGGATTGCCATCTTGGTTCAGAGGCAATGTGAAAAGGTTGGAGGGACGGCGGGGGCATCCTTGGGGCTGGGGGCGGGCAGGCCAAGGGATGAGATGGCAAAGGATGGTTTGGGAATGAGATAGAAGATCCAGCGTGCCTTCCTACACTTGCATGATGTGCCAGTGAATTCAGAGAGGGCCAGGACTCACCGTCATTTTCTTTTCCTGAACCTTTTGTATAGGGCTATTTGATGTGTCTTATGAAACGGAACAAATCTGAATATAAATTTTAACTCAAATAGCATATCTCGGTACTCATGAAAATAGTGGGAGTTATACTCACAATTCCCGGGGATGCCTATGCTTGGAGAGTTAGTAATGGTACGTGAAGAAAGAGAGGCTTCCCTACCTCCTGTTTTCCCTCTTGAGGGCATTCCGGGGTTGTTTCCACAGCAAGGAAAGCTTGTGCAGAATCAAAGGTTCTGGTGGAATAGTTCACTTTGGAAGTCCCAAGGGCAGGGCGGCTGACCAATTTGGCCATGAAAGACTTATCTTCGTGGCCCAGAGAGGTTGTGCAGGGGTGAGTCGGACTCAGGGGCTGAGTAACAGCAGAGCAGATGGTGCGGAAGTGGAAGCTCAGAAGCGGGTTTCTCTGTGTGTCTTTTCCTCTCTCTGGTGGTTGTGGCTGGTAACTGCAACCTATCCCAAAGTACAGCCCAGCCAGTGAGGTACATGCTTCCGATCTGGCAAACTCTCTCTGCACACGAAACTGTTATTCTGAGTTTGCTGATAGACCCTCAAATATTTGAATTGTAAATTAAGAGCTACATGTTCCCTTTTACTATATTTCCCTTAAAAGGAAAGCACCATGAGAGCTTTAAAATAGCAAGATTCCCTATTCTAAGGGGAAATAGTCTTTTTTCATGATTTGAACAGAGAAGGTAGCTTGTTAGGGGCAATCCTCTTCCTTAGCTATCTCCAAATTCCTTTGCAGCCCAGTGCATACTTTTCTCTGGTCTTCAACTTGTTCAAACCTGCAGTCAGAGATATTGGTGTCTCCTAAGCACTTAAAAGGTGTCTGAGGCCTGCTCTTCTCTTCAAAGTACTTAGCACACAGGGTTACAGGTGCTACCACCTGGATTCCCCAGAGCATGAAAGTCTGATCCCAGGTTGAATATGTTTCTCCTGAAAATAAGTATCTTGGTTTTATAGATTCTTAACTTGCCCACAGGACTTGCTCCAAAACTGAATTTTCAGAAGCAGCATGATTGGGAAAAGGATATTCAACTCCGACAGACAAGGGAGATGCAAGCACTCCACACTAATTTCTTTTAGGTGCCCCAAGGCGAAGGCTGCCTCATGTCACTTCCACTCACTTGTGGAGATTTTAAGACTGAGACACAAAGTTCCCCCAGAGTTTCTGCTAATGGAAGGGGAAACAGATGGTTTAGAATGGAAAGATCGAATCAGGGCCACGAAATGTGCTCCCTCTTCTCAAGACTGGCTTTGGCTTTCCCAAATCCCTGCTTGACTCCCACATAACTGAAATTACCTATTACTAGTAAAAGTGAGGGAAAACCTAATAAAAACTTTCAAAAAAAAAATCCTGTTTATCATGGATGTGACAGGATCTCACGAGATCAAGAGAATCAAACACAAACTGCCTGTTAAGAGAGGTCCTTCGTTCTGCCTCCTCTGAGCTAAAATCCTAACTTGGGATGCCAGAAGCATCACACTCTTTTCGGTTTGCAAAGACAGAAGAGTGAGAGGTGAGCTCGCCATGTTTAGCAGGCGTCTTTAAGATGTGGGCACCCTCACCCTCGGGGCCTGTGCTGTGTTCTCAGCTGCTGGCTTTTAAGAGCACCAAAGAGGCAGGGAGGGCAAGGGGAAGAGAAGTGTCATTTGTTCTGTCCCTGCCTGGCCTTCCCAACCCAGGAAAGAGAAGGATTTGAAAGCAACACTGAGATAGAGGCCCGAGCAAACACTGGCACAATCAAGCAGGTGGAAGAAATTGGGTTTTGGCGTTTTAATAAATGTTCAAAGAAACAAAATTTACTTGTAGGGGATGTGACAAAGAACAGAACCCAGAGACTGCCTGCCTTCTCCGCAAACCCCAGGGGGCTATGGTGATGTGATAGCGGCCACAAGAGGCTATCTTCCATGGAAATAACATACGTCATCGACACAATATACAACACCCCTTCCGCTCACCTGCCCACCCACCTCCCTCCTACATGCCCTACCCCAGCCTCTCTGCACCCTCCAGCTTACTCCGGGCTCCCACCACCCACTCACCCCAAATAACCTGCGTCCCTTTTGTTCATTTCCCTGACGTCCCAGCTTGTCCGTCCCCTTGTCATAAGATGCAGCACACTACACACGCTCTCAACACTATGATAGAGCAGACTCTTTTACCTTAGCGGCCTGTCTGATTGCATGCATGTAAATGGGGGGAAGGGGGGGCCAAACAAATCAAGGCTATGCATAAACAGAAAACAAAGCAATCTTTGTAAAGCTAGGCAAGCGAGCGTAACATTGGAGAAACATAAGGCTTGAGGCTTATTGATTCTTTAGATCGCAACCGTTTGGATTCGCTTTCCTTCTTAAATATCGGTGTACCATTTTGGCTTCAGAAAATCTCTTCTTTCTTCTGCCCCCCTCTTCAAGGAAAGGCTTGCTTAACTCAGAGATGTAATATTAGAACGGCCGCCTGGGGGCGCCACGATGCGCTTGCTGGCTGAGCGAACCCCCTCATCCACTTGGGTGCCTGCAGTTGGAAATAAATTCCCAGGAGAGGAAAAAAAAAAAACAGGAGTGTGGGCAAGAGAGAAACTGGATTAATTTTAAGAGAGCAAGATATTTAGTGCCTTGCCGGCCTCACCTCCCAAGAAACTTTCATTCCAGTCTGTCAGATCTTCTAGACTTTTCATATGGCCCCGAAAACTACCCTCTGGTAAGAAAAGCCAAGTTCTTATCTAGATTTCAACTGACCCAGAGCATGATGATAATACTGGGAAGAAGAACAATGATAAGGATGTGACACTCTTTGTGGCAGGCAACGTTTGAGGTGCTTAACTAATCATCTCCTTTAATCCTCACCAGCCTGGTTTGCGAGAGGGACTCTTATCTGTTCTACGGAGGAGATAACTGAGGTTCTGAAAGGTTAGGTCACTTGCCCAAGGTCTCACAGTGCAAAGTGGTGATGGTCAGGTCTCTGTGACGACAGCTTAAATAGGAATACCAATGTGTGCTTGGGTCTATTCAGAGAGGAGCCTCTAAAAGCTTAAGAATTAAGGTAGCCAGAGAACAACAAAAAAATGGCAAAAACTTTGAAAAAACTTCTTATGACTAGCAGAATGTGACCTCTGGCAAAGTTACCTCGAAACTTGTAACTCTTTTCCTTTGTCTTCCCTCCCCTAGGTCTCCCTTACCTTTCTCCCATTTTTCTGTTTCTCCCATTCCTTACCTTTTTCTCATATGCTGTAATTTTACCTTTAAATGTCTTCCCTTTCTTGTTATCTACTTTCTTCACATTTACATTATTCATTATAGAAATGTGAATCTACATTTGTTTTTCTTCATTTTAAGACTACTGGTTATGGAGCAACTGAATGATTAGTTTATTTATATACGTATATATATAATATATTTCCACATATATCAGAGAGTTCTTAAAGAATAGGTAAGACTAATCATATGGCTACGCGTAGTCGACGTTCAGTCAGTGGTAGCCAGAGTTAGCATTATTCTAATTACTGCGAAAGGGAGACTATAATAAAAATCCTAGGTTGGAAGATGCTACTGCAATTTGAGCACAAAAATAATCTAAGCTATCTTTTAATCTGGGCGAATAAAGAAAACACACTACGTTGCATAGCGCTCATAGGCTAATGTAGAAAATCACTATCAATTCATAGAAGGGATCAGCTCCCCCTACGCCCTGCCCCCAACCAGGGCTGATCTCTAGGAAGAATCAGTCACCATTTAAACCTAGTCTTCAGCCTGATTGCCTGGTCTTACTTTCTTACCAGGACCCCTTGTTGATTCAGTAACCTCTTCCTGCTTGCCCCAGTAACCTCCCTCAAGCTGACACCAGCGCTGGGCTAGAAAATGCATTCAGGTTGCGTTCTCAGCAACACCCTCTGGCGTCAGAGCAGTGATCTTCCCCTTCCCCACTCTCTCATCTTCTGATGAGTCTGTCCCACTCACCTGACAGGCTAAATCCCGACTGATGAAGATTCCTCACAGGTGGGTTCGGCCGAGTAGGAGAGCCTCGAGCAGAGCCCGCAGGAGTGCCCCCCTTGGGGGTGGTGGTCAGGTCAAACACAGGCCCATCATACATGCCCCTCGGGACCGCATGCAGGTCTGCCATCTGCAGCCAGAGAAGAGCATGTCATCATTCATTCATTCAGCATGTTAGGGTCTGTTCTAGGTAGCATAAATATATTAGCGAATAGAGTGTGTGTAGTGGGAGCCAGGAATTCATAATAATAAAGATAATTTGAGGAAGGGAGAAGCAGTATACAATCAATAAAGGAGGGTATCATGATAGAGTGACATAAATTGAAGCTCCATAAATAGTGGAGCTTCAATCTGAAGGATCAAAGGGCCTTGCTATGGGTTGAGGTTGCCAGAGGAAGGAGGTTGGGGGGACACCAGAGAGTGGTGTGGATGACAGCACAGCCAACAGGGAGAAGAGCAAGGGCAGAGAGCCGAAGTGGGAATCGTTATGAAACAGAAGAACAGCAGTACAGCTGGAGCAGTGGGATTGGAAGGGTAGGTTCATGACATGAGGTCATAGGTGCTGACTGGGATGGGATCATAAGGGAATTCCACCCTCACACGCTTCAGCACAGATCAGGGTGGGCAGGCCTTGAAGTGAGGTCTGACCCACTGACCCCTGGTTGTGGCTGTGAACTTGCCCTGGGGCTGTGGAGCCAGTCAGCAACTCCCACCCAGCACATGTTCTGCTTTTGGTCATGGGAAACATGGTACCTCTCGCCAAGAGGCTTATAGTCTACTAGACAAACATTCCAAGACCACCCATGGCAGTGGCACAGCTGGTACACAACCTCCACCCATTTCTTAACTTTGGCCAGAGGGGAGGCAATGAGGACGTGCTTCCAGATGAGCCTGGCCGTGCAGGACGGATCATGATAAAAAGTCCTGTCAGAGCCTCCTTCCCTGTTAGCGACTCAAGTGCCGGTACAAAAGCAGAGCCCATCAAATGTGCAGAGGCTGATTCTGGTGATGTGACGACTGTACTCCCCAAAAACCAGAACTCCAGATCATCAACAATTCTCTGGTTTCAGAATTTAAATCGCACTCATAGAAATAAAGAAGCAATACTGGGGAGGTCTCCCTCTTCTCTGTTAAGCCTAAACTGGAGTGCCGAGCTCAAATTCCACAGTCCTAGGGTAGGGCTAAGCTTGTCTCAGGGAGCACAGCACTCACATATATATGAAGGTGACCTAGAGATTGATGAGGGGAGGAGAGAAAGGTGAAAAGGGAGTTCTGGGTCTCATACCCTGAATCAACTGGAGCTGCCCTGTTTGTGTGTGTGTATGTATATATACATACATACTCATATACATACGTATGTATATGTGTGTGTATATAGGGTGCATGTATAAAAAGTACAATAAATACAGTAAGTATAAATATGTAAATATATTTATATACATTTTACATAATTTTAATCTTTTTATTGTATTGCAATATAAACAATACACAATACAATATAAACTATATAAATATATCAATGTTTCTTTATATATTTATATGATGTTATATATTAAATATATATACATATACATATATTGTAAATATATATTTAATTTCTCTGCACCTCCTTTTTATACACATGCACACATTTGCACACGTGTATGTATCTATACACTTACACGTATACATACGTATCCGTGTGTTTATGTATAAAATCAGAGAAACAAATAAGAATTTCTAGAAAACACAGTAGCTAACAGTTGTAAACACTTGCTCCTGTGCAGCAACACTGAGCAGAATGAGACAGAGGTGAGTGGTGCGGATTCTTGGTTCTTACCTTCAGACATGAAGAGTAATTCATTTTTTAAAAAATATGCAGACCTTATTTTGAATTATCCAAATTTTAAATTATTTCAAAGAAAGTGCTATAAAAATGTGGGAAAAATCATTTGGGAAAAAACTCTGGCCAAAAGTTTTCAAAACTCTCTTTAATAGTACCTTAAGTCGGTGCGGTTGTTCTTGGGGACAAGACCGTCACTGAATTTCTCTGTGAGAGTCCAGAGATCACAGTACCCTCTGGTCATGGTTACTACCCTGCACATGAATGGGAAACAAAGCCCCTGCACCACCTCGGAGCTTCCCAGCTTCTTACCTTCCTCCGGGCTTTGATGCGCTTGTAGACATAGTCAGAGAACGGGCTGCAGGGGATGAAGCGGCCGGCCCCCTGTGTCACATGCAGGTTGCCATCTTCCAGCATGATCTTGCCCTGGCAGATGACCACCAGAGGAGCCCCACGCAGCTCCATCCCTTCAAAGATGTTGTACTCTGCAGCCTAGAGGCAGGGGTGAGGAGAAAAGCCACAGTAAGTACAGAAAGAGGAGAAAGAGGAATGTGAGCACCTTCTTTCCTTGAGACCTTCAGTGTCATTTGCTGCCGATTCACCAGGTAAGCCATGAAAAGCTCACCATGCATCTGCAAGCTTCCAGTGTGAGAAGGCACCAGGAGACAGATTTGCTAACGAAAGACTGAACTTCCTAGGAGAAAAGAAGCGTCCAGTCTTTCTTTATTAAGGTCCTCAGGTGGAAGTCAACTTTTGTCATGGGTAGTGTTTAAAGAGAAGCTGGATAACTATTTGGGACGCTGTACGTCACCATCTTGTATTAAGCAGGTGTGCAGAGAGGTTACGTGGCCTTTAGGTCCCTCTGGCTCCAAATTAAATAACATGAGATGACACAATGTTTCAGCAAAGGCCATTACACCAAAAATGGGATTTCTCCCTACCTCCTTCATCTATTCAGCCAGCAAGAGGCGTTACTGTACTGCCAAGTAATTAAGAACATCAGTTTGGAGACAGCTTGTCTGCATTTCAATGCTAACTTCACCATTTGCTTGCTGCACAAATTATTTAATTTTTCTGTACCTCCAATTTTTGAACGATAAAATGGAAGATAATAATAGTCCCTACCTGTAGAAGATTACTATGGAAATCCAGTGAATTAAAAGCACAATGCCTGAAACATAAGTGCTTAAAAATATTAATTATTTTTATTAACAGTGTCAAGCCCATTTTTGTTAGGGAGTGGGCTTTAATTATCATCCTCCATGTGAAACTCCTCATGAGGAAGTCATCTGTGCTGTTCACAAGTTATTTCCCATTCTTTCTCTTTCCAGGCACAAGGGATCATTGCATGTCCTGACTTCTGGAGATTAGGTATGGCCACAGGACTGGCTAAGACCAGTGCCATGTGAGAGGCAGTGATGTACACCACGTCTAGGGGAAGATTTCAGAGCCAGTAGACCATTTACCAGGTCATGTTCTGCTGTCTCAGCAATCATGAAAACCTGTGCAGAGAGAGACTCTATCAGCCTCTGTCCCTGAGTGACTGGGATGGGAAGGGCCCATCTGCTGACCCCCTTGCTTTGGAAAGCAGAAGAAACACAGTTGAGGTTTTGAGCCACTGAGTTTTAGGGGATGGACTGTTAAATTGCAACCCGTCCTAGTCTAACTACCCTGGTGCACCACATAAACACATTTCTCCTGACCAAGTTTCTTGCGGGCATTCTCCATTTTACTTCACTCCCACCAGCACAAGCCTTACAGACTGGTGGTTCTTGGCAGAGACGATCTTCACAGCATCTGGGTCCCAGATGACCAGGTCGCTGTCAGAACCCACAGATATTCTTCCCTTGCGGGGATACAGGTTGAAGATCTTGGCAGCGTTGGTGCTTGTCACAGCCACAAACTGGTTTTCATCCATTTTCCCTGTGGCCTATGAAAATATAAGAAATTATATCTATAGCCATAGCTACATAGATATCAATTCAGGGCTTCTGAACTCAGAGAAAGACAACCACAAAGGCACAGAAATACAAAGATGAGCCACCTGAAAAGGTGGTGAGCTACAGAACCTCACTCGGCAAGCTCGAATTATCTGGGCTGACATGACTACTCAGGCAAAATGGTCAGACACATGGTTTAAGACAGAAGTTACTGCTCCTGAAGTATGTACTTTTTAAGCATGTACATACATGTACTTACTCATTTATCTCTTCTAATTCCAAAAAGGGTTATAGAGGGTTCACAGTAAAAACAAATGTGATTATAATCCCATCCTGTAGACATGTGTTTGCATTTGCCTATGCTGTGTGCATCGCATAAAAGGGAAAGAACCACACCCAGATGATAACAATGCGTTCCCTAGGTTGTGGAATCGAGATATTTTTGTTTCCTTTCAAGTGTGTGCTTGTCTGTAGCTTCCAAATATTCCTTAGTGAACATGTGTCATGCTGGTAATTTAAAAATATATATTATCTTGGAACTATTCCAGAGAGTGCCAGGATAAATATACACACACCGCTCTGCAGTGTATGAAGAAAGAAACACCATATCAGAGAAGAGACAACAATATTTATATTTTTCCTCTTTTCAAACCAAAGAGCCTCTCTTCGGAAAGAACTGAGTTTAAAACCTAGCTCTGAGCTTCCTGGGAACAAAGAAGAAAAAGGAAACTCAGTGAAATTACACTGTGTAGAGTACTGAGGCCTTAGTATACACAACCGTGATATGAATGTTTTTAGGATTTTTAAAATGAAACATAGAGAAGTAATCAATCTAATAATAAGATAATTATGGATTTTACTAAAACCTTTGAGAGAGTCTTCATTTGAATGGCTGTTTTCTTTTGTCAGCCCTTTTGATGTGGACAAGGAAAATAAAACAGGCCACTTGCCAGAAGACATTTAGAGATAATCACTCCTATCGCCTGAATGACCATATGCCCTCAGTACAGGGTGTCCTTGATAAGCAAGAAGACTTGGTCTAGACACAGACTCACTGCTTATCACTTCAAAGGATTAGATCCAGTTCTTTCAAAAGAGGTCATAAAACTCCTAAAACTCTCCAAACAAAAAGAATTAAATCACTATTATTTTAAGCACAGGGCATTTGTACACTCAGATGAAGGAGGTGCCTGTCTGGTCCCTAGTCCTCACAGTCCAGATGAGGAAGCCTCCTTCAGAATGCCAGACCTTAGGAGTCATCACACTAAAAGGAAATTTTCCACATCGCCTGAGCAACATGGTTCCAAAGACATCTGAGCAGGTTTGAGATCCCATCTGCACTCACAGTGTCACCGGCCCAACTGGTGACAGGAAGTTCTGATCTGGCTCATGGATGTTTTGGCCCTGGCCACCCTCCCATGACCCCAATCCCTTACCACAGCCTTGTCCCAGATGACAGACATCCGCTCCTCCACACCATTGGTGCCCTCGGGAATGGCTGTGAAGTTGTCCTTCCCAATTGCTTTCTGGGCAGTGCTGAAGGTGCAGTGGGCACTCCCAGATAGTTGCAGATCCCCACTGGCAAAGGAGAAAAGGTCCATGTGAACAAGAGAGATGGCTGGAGGCACGCTGGGGGCTTAGAATCTTTTGTCCACTGTGAGGGTTTGGACTCTGACTACGTGAGTTTGGAATCTCTCCTCTACCTCTTACTAGATATGTGAGCTTGGATGAGTTTCTTCCCGTCCCTGCGCTCAGTTACCCCATCTAGAAAGTTGAGGGGGTAGGGTAGGATCATCTCTTTTGTAGCCACATAAAATGAACTCAAATGAGCAATGTCACTATCTACATGTCTGCAGAGGGCGGCAACAAAGGAGTCTCCCTACAATTTTGATTGTCATCATGACCAACGATTTAAACTTAGGCAAATGATTGAGATTCCCCAACCTTCAGTTGCTTCCTATGTAAATGTAAATGGTGATAAGACCACCTTACTCATAAAGTTATTACAGGAAACAAATGAGATTGTGAGTGTAGTCTTACCATAGATCTTGCCACATAAAAGGTTCTTTTGTTTGTTTGTTTGTTTGTTTTGTTTTTGGAGATGGAGTTTTGCTCTGTCACCCAGGCTGGAGTGAATCTCACCTCACTGCAACCTCCATCTCCCAGATTCAAGAGACTCTCTGTCTCAGCTCCCAAGTAGCTTGGATTACAGGCGTGCATTATCATGCCCAGCTCATTTTTGTATTTTTGGTAGGGACAAGGCTTCACCATGTTGATCATGATGGTCTTGAACTCCTGACTTCATGATCTGCCTGCCTTGGCCTCCCAAAGTGCCGGGATTACAGGCGTGAGCCACTGCACCCGGCCCCATGATAGGTTTTAACTGCTATTACCATTATTAATATTATAACTGTATTAATGTTTAGGATGGGGAAGAGTCTATTTTCTATGCTCAAGACTGCAAAAGAATTCTCAATACATTTTTCATACTGCAAACTCTAGTCTAGCTGATAGATGGGACTGCTCCAGTCCTCAACCCAGCTGGCCCAAGAGATGTTTTCACAAAACGCCTGCTGCTGGACATTCCTGCACCAACCTGGCCAGCAAGGAGTTGATGTAGTCAGGAGTAGTTGGGTCAGGGCTCAGGGGTGGGGATGTCACAAATGCAGCCGCCTTGGCCCAGTTCTTGCTCCAATAATGGGTTCCGTCTATGCCGAGGCTGGCGGTGATGGGCTCACCAAAGACCACATTTCCTAGAAAAGGAAGGAAATAGGCAAGGGATTGGCATAAAGTATGTGCTGCACTGAGCCCAGCCTATTAATTTAGCTCCTAAGTCTATCCAGGACTGTGGATCAGAGTCAGACAGACCTGGGTTCAAGTCCATGTTCCCACCTTTTCTAAGCCTCTGCTTTTCTGTCTGCTAAATGTGACCAAGTTTGTATTCCCTAGATCAAAAGAAGCCATGGGTTGTTAGGCGCAGTGTCAATTCTCAAATTTTGAGGCAAACTAAAATTTGAGGCAAAATAAAATATACGTATTGATTTTTAAGATTCATCCTCATTTGAGAAATACTAAAGTGCTCCAGTTCTTGCTCTAGTAATGGGTTCCATGTATACCCAGGCTGAACTAGACATATCCTGAAATTGATGAAACAAGATGAAGTCTACTTCTCAGGCTTATGAAAATGAAAAAATATGGCCTATGTGAAGCATCTGGCACTTAGTGGATGCTCGGTAAATATTGCTTTCTTCACCTGTTGCTCCTTCCCACTGCAGAGGCACCAAAGTCCAAATGTGCCCCCACCACTGGGAATTGCTAGATCCTCCCATTACAATGAAATGCTTGGGTTCCACAGGTAAAATCTATTCCTGTGGATTACAGACTCTCATGACTTTTTTTAATCATGTTTGTTACTCCTAACATGATGACTTGCTAAAAATCACCCAACAACCTAGAACACATCAAATATGAGACTAGCTTCTTAGATTCTGCCTCAAAAATTAGGGGCCTAACTACTCAGACCATGGAGAGGGAAGAAAGGCTATTGGAAAAGACATTGATCTAAGCTTCTGTTGAGCCTCTTTAAGAAGAAGGAACAGTGATTCAGAAGGCAAATGCTAACTCATAGCAAGGTGGTTGGTACCAAGTTTCTCTGTGCCAAACTCTGGGGCCAAAGCTACCCTATGAAGCCCTTGGCTTCTTTAACTTGAGTCCTCAATCTTCCACAGTCAGATTCTTCATAAATTTGCACTTTATGGCCAGGATTACAAATAGGTTTTGCCTTGTTTCAACTCCAATCAATTGGTAATCGTTGCCTAGAATTCCATGAAAAGAAGAATTCTAATAATGTCTCAGTAGAAAAGACTCACGATTGATTAGTGATGCCTGCCACAGGCAAAAGAAGGAAGCTATGGTAATGATTCACAAAGGACAGCCCTGCTTTTTGGGGTGGCAGTAAAAAGATCCATGTGATGAGAATTCAAGGGTTCTCCAGAAATACACACTAAAGGATGCAGGACCATAAAGATATGAAGAAATGAAGGTCACAGCAAGTAGTCAACTACTATTGAAAGAAATAGAACCTTATAAGTGGAAGAACTCTCCCTCTGGACTATGGTTAGCATGGGAGAGTAAAAGAAGCTAAGATAGTAATGATGCCTAGATTTCAATACTAGCTCTCCCAGATGGGAGATCCTGAACAGGTTGTGCTGCAGTTTCATCTGAAAAAGGGTAATAATGCCTATTTCTCAGAGTTCTTTGAGAATTCTACACAATAAAAAATTTGAAGTATTTATCTCAGTGCAGGGTACATAGCTGTTCCTCATTAAATTGTAACTTTCTAATATTAATTCTGAGCAGCCATATAGTTAAAGAGCCCTGATGATTGGTGACTAAACACATCGAGACTTCAATTATCTCCTGGTCAGGAGGGAAACTCTGCTACACTTTATCTTGCTCGGAATACTCTTGACTGTTTCCCCGAGAATGACGGTCCACAGATGTTTACTGACTTCAGTCTCAGCCGCTAGTTTTTCATCCCTGAAATAATACCGCCATTCCACCCTGAAGACACAGCTGTACTAGTTCTGCCTGCCAAAAAACTGAGCCAAAAGGCTTAGGGTTAGGAATTTTTCTCCAAGAAGTTTGAAGTAAGACCAGCATATAACTGAAACACCCTGTCCCGAGTGTGGCCCCCAGGCTACCCTGAGAATGGGTCCCAGGCAGAAATGCAGCTTCAACAGAGGGCATAGCAGGGGTGTGTGTTGCACTGGGTAAGGGCAGAAGGGAGTTCCTACACGCTTTTACTTTTTCTTTTTTTTTTTTTTTTGCTTTTCTCCAAGAATGAGTGAGGAGCACTGGGCTGCTTTCCTGGTTCTCGCCCAATGACTCATACCCAGTGGAGCAACCAAGCCATGTCAATTGAGACTTCTAAAAGCTAAGGAGAAAACAGCAGCCTACAGAGAACAGAGGAAGGAAGGAGGTGCCCCAGAATCTGCCAGCTAGGAAGGGTGTCTAGACAATGGGAAAGCCTCCCCTCTTATAAGAAAAATAGGATCACCCTGTGCCAGAAGGCCAGGCAACTGAAACTCAGCCATCGGCATCAGCTGAGACTATTTTTAGCTACAGCAGTCACTCACACGTAGAGATTTACAGGCCAGTTTGGTAGATGAATCACCCATCTTGGGCCTCTCCACCACCAGAATGGCCACTGGCACGCAGTGGTAGCAACCGCATCACCAGGCCTGCTAAATCCTCTCTCACGACCCAATGCAGAGCTGCACGTCTACAGCTTCTCACCTACACTCATCCCTCACCCAGCCTCACAACTGAGACCATGGGTCTGACACTGAGGATAAGAACCAGAAACAGAAAAGAAAGCTCTAAAACATTAGCTAAGCTCAAGGCAAGCAAAGGAAGCCCAAGTTAACACCAGTGGAGAAAAGAAGTCAACAGGCAGCAGGCGCAGAGCCAGGGTCGTAAAGGCCGTGGTGGCCAACATGCTTTGGAGACCCACTCAACCCCTTCTCTAAAATAACTTGTGCTTGTCTCGGTGGCTCAGGAGGTATGACCTGCATCTGTACTGTGGCTTCAATCTTGGCCAGATTATACCATCCTGGGGCGTTTACTGGTCCAGGGATGACAATATGACCCAGACCAGGACGGTCACAGTGCTTCTAGGGACTTTTGCTTGACCTGCTGGAAAAGGTGTATTTCACTTTCCCATCATGCTCTCCACCAAAAACTGAGGACAACAGGAGTCTCTTGGCATCTATTCCTGTGACTGTTTGTACTAAACAAGCCAAACAGAGGAGAGAGAGCTAAGACAGTAGTAAGCGTGACAAAGGCCTAATACTGCTGTTGAGGCCCTTTGATCTATCCATGCCTGAAACACCTACAACCGGTTATTTACTTGTGTTTGTTTAAGCCAGCTGGAGCAAGATCTTTGAATTTTGCACTCAATTTAATCCTGACTGATACATTTATAAAACTCATTTATAAAACATTTTCAGGTAAGGTGAACTGAAAATGAAAGATCAAAGGGGAGAAGGAGGATGCACAAAGTCTCAGAAGAACTGATTCAAGTTGTGTCATCTTGGACAAATCACTTAACCTTCCTGAGCCTCAGTTTACTTACATGCCAAGTGAGAGAAATCCCAGGATCCTGCCATCCACACAGGATGTGGAGAGGGGCTTCCTAGAGAGCAAGGCAATGAGCAAAGTAGGCACCATTTATATTACACAGGATAACCAGGGAGGGAAGGAGCCACACAGTGTCTTTGAGAGCTCTGAGATCTTAGGAGCACAAATCACCTTTTTTCCTGGCTTGTGAGATGAGGTCAGCTGCACTCTTGCTCATGACCTTTGTGACGTAGAGAGGGCAATTGGTTTGGCTGGCAATGGTGATGGCACGGAACACAGCCTCAGCTTCCAGCTGCAAGAAAAAGTCCTCAGGAGTCAATAGGAACATGAACCTCTCAAACTGGTGGCTCCCACCTCCACAAACTATGAGAAAGCAGTGCTTTGCAGAGATTATGGGTGATCTTGGCAGGATCTGGAATTAGACTGTCTGTAGCCACATCTCAGATCTACCACTTCCCAGCTGTTTCACTTTAGTCAGCTTCCCAGTGCCTCTGTCCCTCACTAGTAAAACAGTGCAGCACGGCGCTGTCATCTGAGAGGAATGCCTGGCAGAGGGTAAGGACTTAATGCTGGCTTGAGTTTTTCCTTAGCCTATCCTCTCTGTGGTTATCACAAAGGTGACATCTGAATGAAAGCTTTTGCTTGTCAATCTTCTCAGGACAGAGTCTCTGGGAAAACACAATAGCAAACCATTATGTCTAAAACAACCGGCCAAGCCAATTAGGCATCATGGTTCCTCCAATCCTTTCCTGCGGCAGTAAGTGGTCAGCAAAGGGTTAATTCTAGGAGGCATTTCTTACAAAAGTAATTCCCAGGTTTCTCAACACAAAGACTTCTTTTATTATTAATCTCTCCCATCTTACCCTAAGGTAGAATTCATGTTTTCAAATATACTAACCAACCCAGTGGCATTTATTAAGTAAGAAATAAGAAGTTTTCCCTTATTTTACTAATAAAGCAGAGTTTGAGAGCTGAGGCTCTCTCAGATGGCCGGGTTCTGAGTCCTGCTTCTGGTACTTAGAAGCTAGGTGATCTCAGGTACATTACACGAACCCCCAAAGCCTCAGTTTCCTTGTCTGTAAAATGAGGATAATAATAGGATCTGACACGTTGGGCTGTGGTGAGGATTAGAGTTAATCCTTGTAAAGCAATTAGCCCATTCCTAACGAGGCAACAAGGTTAAGTGCCCTTTGAAGGGTGTCTACAGATATTATTGCTGATAATATTTTCTGACCAGCTGAGGGTCTGTGTTACTCTCAAGAGGTCTGCTCTCAACTGGTGTGAGTTAGTCCAATTCACAAAGCAGTGACTCTGACATTTTTCCATTCAATTGGCAACAGTTCCCTTTTTTATGGATGTGACATTCTGGTTAGCCTGTGGAGCCCAACGCTTTTTAAAAATACCAAAAATAGCTTGTAGATGCCCAGTGGCCGTATAATGCAAACCAGTCACTGCTCATAGTGGGTGTAGCTCAGCAGACAGACTCTAAGAATTTGCATGGCTGAGCTGGCCTCCCGCAAGCTGCACTTTATTTCACGTGGATGAGACACTGGAGGCCCCTGGCCATAGATGAATGTGGACACCTTCCTGAAGCACCCAGAATTTTGTCCTCGGGTAGAGTTGTCTTTGCGCCTGGGGTCCCAGCTCTCTGAACAGCATCACCTGTTCAGCTCTCTGAACAGCCTAAGAGGGCTGGCTCCTCCTATGCTTACTCCTCCCCCTTCACACCCATGCTGACCACTTCAGCTCCCCCAGGACCTCTGTCCTGGTCCCTTTGATCTCATTCCTCCCAAGCTCTACAGGTTTTTCAACACTTTGACAACATAACTATCTTTGGAAGTTTACATCACCCTCCAACTTCACCCAAAAGGCCTTCCACAGCTGTAGAGATTTGCGGCTGAGAGACTTTTTTACTAAAAAGGAGACAGGAATAAGGAGGAGGGTGGGGTGGCAGGGCCAAGGGGAGGTTGAGAAAACAAACCAAGGAACAAAAATAGACTTTGCTCTGAAATCCCCTGGCTGCTGCTGGAAATCTATCTTGCCAGCACATCTCCACAGTGACCAGCATGTAAGAAAAGCTTCAGAAACAATGCTGATCGCCCTGGCCTGTTCACGATGAGTAAACGATTTTCCAGTCCTTCAAGTGTGATCAGCCGGGGCTTAACCTCTCTTGAGTTTCAGCTTCTTTACCTGGGCAACAATGCCAACCACACAGAGCGGCAGCAGTGAGTACTGAGATCATGTATGCAATCAGCCTATGCCAGATGTATGCATTCCATAGAAGTGACCTGGTATTAAGGAGACAGACTTCAGGGACGCTGTATGTGACTGGAACCCTAATCACAAAATTATACATTTAAATGGCAATAAAAATATCACTAGCTACAATGGAGTTTCTGAAGTGCTGATAATCTGTTTCTTCCTCTGGGTGCTAGTTATACAAGTGTATCCAGTTTGCGAAAATCCATTGCCTCCTTGGGATAGAAACATTTTTTTCTATGTGTGTTCTATTTATATTTTAAGTAAGACTCTAGAAGAGACGGGATATGGGAATGCAATCATTTCTGGTTATGATTCCTTCTTCTCCCTGTTGTAGGATTTGGAATGACAGAACAGAAACAGGATTCGCTTCACTGATATGGAGGGCCTTGACTTTGCTCCAAGTGCTAGACCCAGCCTGCTCTTTCAAAGCCACTGTGCTTTCAGGTACATGGGCAACCAATTCTCAGCTCTATGCTCCATGCCAGCAGGTGAAGCTGCTGATATCTCAGAGACATGGAACCAGCCTCTAGTCACCTTTGATTTGTTGTTTGGCTGCTAAGCACAGACATAAATAATCATTCATTTTTATACACGAGAAACTTCCATAACTGGACATAATCATCACCTATACAAATTGATGAGTATAATGTATATTTAAAAAAACCCATTCAACCTCTTATCCAAATGGCCAATATTTTGCAGGACTCCAAATGAAATAATGGAATAAGTGGAAATGTCTATGAGATTCACACTGAGATTTCCTTAAGAAAGGAGCTAGAAATTTAACACTCCTGAGTAGCTGTGAAGGACACTCCAACTTGTGCTATCTTTAGAGAGATTAGGGGTCAGAAGTAAGCATGTCTGCTACATTCCTTTCTAATTTTCTCATGAGCTCTGGAGCTAGGGTCAATCAGAAGTGGTCTTTGGAAGAAATGTTCCACTACTGCTACCTGGTACTCAAATTCTCATCACCTTTTAGCAATGTTTATTCATGCATTGTGCGTGCATGTGGCTTGAGAAGGTAAGTCGAACACAAACACGGCCCATACAAAGTTGGTGGCAGTCATAGTAAGGCTGAGGCTGTGATGATGGGCGTCTTCCAGAAGACATGGTAAGAACTAAGTCCTCACTGCTACTGCTTTTCTCCCCCTACCCCATCCTCCACCTTCACCCCCTGTAACTTACCTCCTCTGGCCTGCTCAGTACATGGCCTTCTGGACCAGTTATCCCCATTTCCAACATGCGGGTTTGCTCCTGAAATGAGAAAAGAAAATTCTTCAATGAGCTCAAGTGAGATTTGGAAAAATTATGCTGGTATGTTCTGATCTAAAGAATAAATATGTGTACGTTGAACAGATGTATTAATCCTATATTTGAATTTGCAATTTAGGGTAGAGTCAACTAAAAGGAGGAAAAAAAAAACATTCAAGGTGCTTTGTTTTGATTAAAAGAAAGATGGTTGTCTGTTAGAGTATCTATTTTTTGTCTACACTACCCATAAAGAATCACACCAGGTCACTTACTCTTCATCTCTCAGTCTCAGCTGCCTCTGAAACTACGCTTATTCATCTCATTTGTTTATTCATTCGTTCTCTTTAAACCCATTAACTTAACAAAATGTATTGAGCATCTGCTTCCTGCTAGGCTCTGGGTAGGTACCTACATTAAAGCAATGTAGCCCCTGACCTCACGGAACTTAAAGTTTAGTGCTTTGTTCCTCAAATTGTGGGCCGCTCATCACTTATATCAGGATCGCCTGAATCGTTTTTGTAGAAATGCAAATTTCTCACCCATCCTAGCCTACCACATCAGACCATGTGAGATGGAATCCAAGTAATGCATATTTTAATAAACCACACAGGAGTTTTGATGTTTTAAATCTATGGCTTAAATGAATGGATTCAAAATTTAACCAAACAAAATAGTGCTTCCAAACAGCATTAACTGAGTTAGTATTTTGGTGAACTTCTGTTTAACCAAGCTGTGGACACGGCAGAAGATGTATGTGTCCCTTGTGGCTGATGGCTAAATTCCTCAGACTTCTAGTCTCTTTCTGGAAGAAGCAGGTAACTGGGCAGTGAGCACACATACATGGACTGATTGAAACTGGCAGAAATCCTAAGCCACCATTCCTTCAGCATTACTGGTATTCACTCTGACATTAAGGCTGGTTCCTATGAACCCCTGTACCAGCAGGCCTGGCCTAGTGAACTGGGAGTACTCTGGTAATGTGTGAAACACACAGGAAAGACAGTGAACACAACAAGCCTTGTCTCACGTTAAAACTACGGGGCATTTAGAAAGGAAACGATTCTTACCATCTGGAAAAGAACCTTCTGTTTTTTGGTTTTAGTAATAGAAATTTCTAAAACAGGAGCAGAAAGGAAAATGCACATACTATAAGCAACCACAAGAGGTGAAATGGTCACTATCTCCAGCTCTACAGAATACAAAAAACGGTTAGAGGCTGATTTTTTCAGAAAAGCACCTCCACTTTTCATTCTTATCATTCTCACTTATTGAAACTTGAACTGAATTAAATTTCTTCTGAAGTCTAGTGAGTTTCTACTCTGAATTGCCTCTGGTCACATAAGGGTTAAGGTCTCCAGCTAAAGAATCTGTCTTAGGTGACACTTACGCTTCTGTCTTCTTTGAGTGCACCAGCATAACGCACAGGACAAAGCTAAGCTCCAGTGGTGGCTTCCAAGTGCATTCAAATCACCAGGGGAATATTTTCAAAAGACACTTGCCTGAACTCTGCTACTGACTTTTCCTAATTCCAGAATACCTGGAATTAGAAAAATTTGGTCATGCCAATGCACTCTTCAAATTATGAAGTCCTATTCTGAAGCCATGATGTCCCTATAGCTGGGAGGTTAAGAATGGCAGTAAAGACCCACTGATGCTACCTCACATGGGGGTAGCAGTGGGCACAGTGTGGCTTTCATCACAGCTACAGTTACATCACAGTTTGGGTCATAACACAACCATGGCTTGCTCCATGATGAAAGGAACCCTGTCTTTTCCATCTTCCTTCTCCAAGGCTTGGCACATAGTAGGTGCTCAACAAGTATTTGTTAAATGAATGGCTAAAAATGATGTCCTCAGACTGTTTCACCAACTTGAAATTTTTTAAAATCACCCTTGTTTGTGCTCCAAATCAGTTTTTTTCTGGTATATTCACTTTCGCATAAGTGCAGCAAGAAATTCTGAGTATAGCAGCTGCCTTCATTTAAACAATGTGATAAAATCTTTCAGCTCAAGCTGAAGTTAATAAACACACACAAGAAACTCATCCAAATGGAAAAATGCTCCTACTCTTTTCCTGAGAACACATCAGCCCAGGTAAAGAAGCTGAAACTCGGGGAAATAGCAGGGGTAGGGGAGACTAGAGAAACTTCCATGCTAAGGAGTCACAGAGGAAAGAAACTGAGAACGTCGTCTTTTGAGGTGGAGTCCATCTGCTTCTACAGGAGCTGGAATGAACTGCCAGGGGGTTTGGTTTCCAGGGAAGATGAGAGCAGGTCTGGGACCGCTGGCTGCTGCCCTAAAAACTTGGGCAAAGGGAGGAGCACAGCTCTAATACCACAGAGTTGCCTCCCACGAGACCAAGGCATTTGGGCTGTCTACAGAAAATGATTTCATTATCTCTGGGTGTGTGGTGGACGTGGGCGAGAGTGCTGTCAGGGTCCTGACTAATTAGCCTCCTTGGTCACAGTGAGAGGAAACTGTACACTTACCTCACCTCCCCCACCAGCAAGACCATATGCAGAGTCTGAAATCACAACAGCTGGAGCTCTGCATGGCTGGGATGCTGCCTGCCCACAGGCCTGCTGCTGGGCTTGGGAGGCAAGGGATCTCAGATATGAAATCTCTGGGTAAAGATACCCACTGAGATACACCACCTTAGGGGCAAAGATTTGGTTTTCCTAGTTATTTGCTGTGATCCTTGGGCCAGTGACCTAATCCCTCTGAGCCTGGATGGTCTTGTCTATAAAACAGAAAGGATGATAGAATCTTTAAGGGGTTTGAAGAAAATTAAATGAGAATACACCAGAACAATTACCAGTTCCTAGAGCTCACCAAATGGCACCTGCTATCAGGCAACTAATGGTCCAAGATGAGGGGAGGCCTAGACATTGTTCCCACACCCCTGCCAACCACATTCCCCAAGTTCTGGACAACTTCTAAAATAAAAGCACAGTCCAAGTATTAGTGAGCTATGGAATGCATCTGTTTCGGCTCACTTCAATAGCTAGTGCCTGGCACAAAGTGCTCAGGAAATACTCTTAGAAGGAATGAAAAATGGTGTCTTGTTGCCAACATTATCAAAAGGACGAAGAAAGCCCACTCTTTTTTTTCTGGCAGTCCCCTAGCAAAGGCCAATCTTGAATGTTTCTGAGATGTTTCTGAGATAAACAAAACCCCTCCTAAGACACATCTGTGCATCTATTCCATTAAGCAGGAGATGGAGAGAGAGAACTGCTTCCTGCTTCCTTACAAATGATCAATTTGGGCCTTGGGGCCCTCCCTTTCATCACTCTTTCCTCAAGTTTCTCAATAAGATTTCTAGGAAGCCAGTGAGATGTCTGATCTTCATGAGACCTAAATCCTCTATTATTTAAGGCTGTGAACTCCACAGACTTGGATCCAATCTCTAGCTTCTGAGAAACGCTGCCTTACAGTCTTTCTTTATGACAGAGAATGTCTTGTAGCTTTGAGACATTTTCAGAGGAGGATCAGCAAATGCTCTCCCACTAATTAGCCCAATTTGAAATCCTCTTCTTCCAGGATGCCTTTTCTGATTCTCCAAGAATGGCCAGGCCTCTTCCTATTTTGCTGCATCTTCTAGCTTTGCTGCTTGTCAGCACTCCCCTCTCTTTTGTTTCCTCCACCTAGATTGTGAGCTACTTTGGAGCAGATTCTGTCTTTAGCAAGGTACTTATGATGGTGCTTTGCACGTATTGAGAGCTCAAGCAACACTGAAGAAACGAAGAAGCAAATAGAACGCAGACTCGAAGCACATTCCAGGGAGCCGCACGGTGTTACCTGGGCAATGATATCTCCATTTTCAGCATGAACTTGAGCAATGGCCCCCAGCTCTCCCAGGCAGGTGAAGATCTCATAGAGCTGAAATAGAAATGAGTCTTTGTCACTCTTGAGAGCACTTGCAGCAGCCGCACATAAGGGCCAATTACTAGAGCCAAAGCTAAAACAAATGGGATGAAGCAGAGGAAATAAGTGACTAGGGCAGATACACAGACTACATAGGCATGACCAAAGAGGACTGCTAGTCCAAAGAAATCCTAGGAAAGGCCAGGCACAGTGGCTCATGCCTGTAATCCCAGCACTTTGGGACGCCGAGGGGGTCAGATCACAAGGTCAAGAGATCAAGACCATCCTTGGCAACATGATGAAACCCCGTCTCTACTAAAAATACAAAATTTAGCCAGGCATGGTGGCAGGCACCTGCAGTCCCAACTATCTGGGAGGTTGAAGCAGGAGAATCACTTGAACCCAGGAGGTAGAGGTTGCAGTGAGCCAAGATCGCACCACTGCACTCCAGCCTGGGTGACAGAGTGAGACTCTGTCAAAGAAAGAAAGGAAAGAAAGCAAGAAGGAGGAAGGAAGGAAAGGAGGGAGGGAGTGAGGGAGGGAGGGAAGGGAAGAAGGAAGGAAGGAAGGAAGAAGGAAGGAACCAATCATGTTCCAGGAAGAAGGAAGGAAGGAAGGAAAGGAGGGAGGGAGGAGGGAACCAATCACGTTCCCTAGGCAGGCAGAGCAAATATACAAGATACAATAATAGCCGCAGAATCCTTCGCAACAAATGCTCTAGAAAGCCGCTACAGCCCGGGCAGAAACAAACAAAAACTGAAATCCTTATATCTTAACTTACGAAGGTAGACATATATTCACCTCTAACCAGGAGGCATGGGAATTCATTTCTTGTATTTTCTCTGAAAACCTAGCCTCTGTCTAAAGCAAACCCATGCCATGAATTTCTTAGGGGGAGAGTCACAGGCAAGGCAGTAGGATTATTCCAATCAACAGCAGGCCCTCCTGGTCCTGCAGGTGAAGAGCCTCACACTTTCACTGGGCTTATGAGGGGTTTGGAGTTTGGCAGATGGAGATTTAGGCATGTTCTTCCTCTTGCCGTTTAAGAAAGCTGCTGCCAGTGGAAACTCTAGCTCCCTGTCTGTCTTGCCATGGGCACCCTGCCCGTTACCTTATTTAAAACGTAGCGTGGACTGCAAGGGCTTCAAGAAGCACTCTGGCCCAGTGGTCTCCCACAGTGACCACAGTGATTCATGTTACAAGGGCCAAGGTCATCAGCAACCATAGGAAACTCATCCAGATACCCCACACCACAAAGCAAATGGGTTGTTACCTCTGTGTTAGATACTTGATACAAATCCTTATAAGCCATATAAACCATGAAGGAGTTAACCCCTGCAAAAGAGGGATGGGAGGAAAAACAAGAGAAAGACAATGTTATCGTGACTGTCCTCCATCCTTTGCTCCCACTTCCATTGACCATGGGACCCTGCTGCATTACCCAGGCTCCTGCCCAACATAAAGCAGATATTTATATTCTGCAAGAGCATTTTGCTCTGCCCACCCCTGCCCCACAAAATCAAAAATTCCTAACAGGTGACATAGCAGAATGGCCTCTTCTTCTATGCCTCTTTCTCACCTCCTCTGTCCAGCATTCCCTAGCCCAGAAGGTCAGTAAACTTTGATATTGCTCAAGGCAGTAGTAGGTGGCATTAAGAATCACTCTAGCACACAAGCTGTGTTCCTACACTGGGGGCTGCATCATTGAAATCCACTAGTTCAGTGAGCTTGGGATGCTTAACCTCTCTGGACCTTGGTTTTCTCACCTGTAAAATGGAAAAATAACCATACCCTACTTCATAAAGTGATTGTGAATATGAAAGGAGAGAATCTGTACAGAGCTCTTAGTAACAGGCTTGGCACATACTTGGTTTCCATTAAAAATCTCCTTGGTTCAGTTAATGTTACTGTGCAGGGCGTTGGATCGGAAAGGAGAACTAAGATGCAGACCCTATGGAACTAATGGGCAGGTCCTTGTGCTTAAATATCTTAAGTTATAAGGTTTACATGTAAAGATCTATTTAGATCTCACCCCAGATAAACTACTAATACAGTGATTTACAGAAATAGGTGGGACTGAGGAGCTGAGAATCATTTTGAGGAAAGGAGGATAATTTTGGTCTCTAACCATTAGGGCCCTTTCAGCCCACAGTGTTCTGGGCCAAAGTGGGTTGTAATTTGAGAACTTCCCTACCCAGAGTGGTTCAGCTCAGGCCAGTCTACCCAAACACCACCCTTCCCGAAAGCCTCTACATTATCCATGGAATGATCCAGGCACTTTGATAGAGAAGTGAGTGCTAAAGCTATTCAATATTCTACCCCAGTTGAGATACCCAGCATAAAAGCAAATACAGGAAGAAGGAGTGAATCTCACATTCTGCGTCATCAAAGATTGGGCAGGGCTTGTGGGGTAAGGAGGCGGATGGAAAGAAAATATCATCCTCTGAGGGGGTCATCATTTCCCTTCCATCCTAGGGCACACTCTTCCACTGGGCTCCTAGCATTTGTCTCTCGACTACTCCTTTGCTAACAGTTCTTGCACCCCATAGCATTTATTCTGTTGTTCTTTAGGAGCTTGTTTTCTTTTGCCTTGGGTGTTCAGCAGAGACCATTACTTACGCTTCTCTAAGACCCCCAGGCTGCCTTACAATGCTGAACACATCGTGCACATGTGTGCATGTATGTATGTGGGGGGAACTGCAGTATCCGATGATCAAAAAGAAGCAGAGAATAGAAGAATTTGAGAAGACAGTGGAACGTAAATCATGTACTCACTGAGAGGACACACCCTGGTACACACACAGAAACACATATATATGAACATGTTTTCACATCCTAAGCTCCCAGCCTGAGTACCAACACATCCTTGCTCCTAGCAATGCCTTGGCCTTTTCTGAGGATGCCATTGTTATATGACAGTAAGGGTTTGATCTCACTATAGAGCAAAAATGATATGAGTTAAAAATCCCTAATCTCGCCGGGCGCGGTGGCTCAAGCCTGTAATCCCAGCACTTTGGGAGGCCGAGGCGGGTGGATCACGAGGTCAAGAGATCGAGACCATCTTGGTCAACATGGTGAAAACCTGTCTCTACTAAAAATACAAAAAACTAGCTGGGCGTGGTGGCGCGTGCCTGTAATCCCAGCTACTTAGGAGGCTGAGGCAGGAGAATTGCCTGAGCCCAGGAGGCGGAGGTTGCTGTGAGCCGAGATTGCGCCATTGCACTCCAGCCTGGGTAACAAGAGCGAAACTCTGTCTCAAAAAAAAAAAAAAAAAAAAAATCCCTAATCTCACAGGTTGTACTAGCCATATAACCTTATGCAAGATTAGTTAGCCTCTCCTAACTTCAGTTTCTTCCTCTGTAGAATGGGCAGTATTGCACAGAGGTGAAGAGCATAGAATCTGAATACACCTACTGCTTACTAATGCTGTGATCTTGGGCTGCTTATTCTGTGCCTCAGTTTCTCCATCTGCAAAGTGGGGAAAACAAATCACTATCTCACAGGGATCCTGTAAGAAGTAAGTAAAGTACCTGGAACAGTGTGGTATCCCTAAATCCAGTGCTCATGCTCAAGGTTCCAGGCTCCAAGCAAAAGTTAGTGACTGAACTGAGTGGATAGTGTTGGAAGGACCGGCAAGGAGAAGCTAAGGGAGGAGGGAGGGCAGCATGTTCAGGCTCACCTTTGTCTTTGATGAGGTTGTGCACTTCCTGCTTGACGCTGTCATTCCAGTGGGTGATGTCCACATGCAGGGCATAGTCACAACAGCTCTTCCCGTCAGCCCACTCTCTCCACTTCTCATAGGCCTCAGTCAGGCTGGACTCAGGCTCAGGCACCACATGGTCAACTGAATGACAGAGACCCCAGATGTGTGACTCTCAGACACAGCCTTTGCTCCCCTCTGCCCAGGCCTGCTCCTGCTTTCTTAGCTGTGGCTACAAAATCTCTATATCCCGAGCATGGAATTAACCTTTGAAGGGGTTCACTGGTAGTTTCAAGAATGCTGATGACTTAAATGTCACCCAGCTCTGTGATTTGGGACAACTTACTAACTTCCCTAAACCTCAGTTTTCTTTCTTTTAAGTTGGTGCCAAGGAGGGTGGGAGTCAGGGTGTTACTAGCGCCTTTCTTCTGAGTTTATAAGATTAAATGAGAAAATGTATGTAAAGTACTTTACCTAATGCCTGGTTCACGGTAAGTGCTCAATAAATGCCAGCCATCAATGAGTGCCTACTATGTGTCATTATTACTAGCACTCTGAGGAGGTCGCTGCTAGTGAAAAAAGTCAGACTCTTCCGAGGGTGAAAGTGGGGATTTAAAGCTAAGTTAGGGCACAAGACATTGAGGCTCTCTGCCAGAGGACAAAGCTGTTATCAGTTACATAAACCTGATACTGGGCTCACAGATCTTATTTCCATGAAAACTTTTTGTCAAGAATCTGGTTTCTGACCGGGCACGATGGCTCATGCCCGTAATCCCAGCACTTTGGGAGACCGAGGCAGGCGGATCACGAGGTCAAGAGATCGAGACCATCCCGGCCAACATGGTGAAAGCCTGTCTCTACTACAAATACAAAATTAGCTGGGCGTGGTGGCGCGCGCCTATAGTCCCAGCTACTCGGGAGGCTGAGGCAGGAGAATTGCCTGAACCCAGAAGGCAGAGGTTGCGGCGAGTCGAAGTCACGCCTCTGCACTCCAGCCTGGCGCCTGGTGACAGAGTGAGACTCAGTCTCAGAAAAATAAAAAATAAATTAAAATAAAATAAAATAATCTGGTTTCTTTGAGACCCAAATCTACTCTTTCACCTGCAACCATGGATAGATTTTTTTAAACAATAACATCCGCAGTTGATGAAGAAAAGGCGAAAGTTATGCTTTCATAGTTCCCTGGATGGCTGAGGCAAAATACAACTAAGGACAACTTTCCGGAGAGCAACTTTGAAATATATATAAAAAACCTGGACATTTTTCAAACCTTAACCCAATAATTATTCCCACACCTGTGAATTATTCCTAGGGAAATAAATGAGCCTGTATACAAAATCTTGGTTCCAAGGATGTTTCCCACTTATTTACATAAGTGAACAACTGGAAACAATTGAAATTGTTCATAGAGGAGTGAGGTTAAATACATAAATCCTGATGCTTTTATAAAGTGGATGATGAGGAATTCACTTTAAATGTTGGGGTGGGATAAAAATGCATGAAAAGATATCCATGACATATTATTTAACAAAAATGGCAGGTTAAAATATAGCACATATACTATGTTCCTAGTTTTGCCAAATAGGGTTTTTAAAATGTGTCCAATATACAGCCAAACTCTAACAGTAATGTGGGATTATGAGGTTCCTTTTCTTCTTGCATCTCCAGGGTTCCTAATTTATCTATGAAGGGCACAATTGTTTTTGTGGTTTTTTGTAAGTTTTACTCTTGTCACTGGGACTCTGACTTCCCTAGTGCAGAAGGCCAAGTGCAATACAAATCTCAAGGATGCCAAACAAGTCCAGCTCCTTGCCCAGAAGGCAGAAAGCCAAACCAAGATCACTCATTCCCGTAGCCTTCTATCAAAGGCAGCCCAAGTGCACTTATCGGAAAGCAAATGCATGGAGCTACATTACTAGTGTCTGGGGCAACGCCAGGGCTTTTGTCGGCGGGCAGCTGCTGAGAAGTCAGCAGGCTGCCACCCTTCAGCTAGAGAAAAGCTTTGTTCTCCCTGAATTGCACCTTTTATGGCTTTGGTGCAATCTTTCTGGGTGGGCTTCCACACCCAACCAGCTGAAGCTGAACCCTGCTCATGCTTCTGTCAAAATGAAGTAAAAGACAGTGGATAATTCTACAGCTCAGGCTGTTCTGTGCTCCCAGGGGATGTATATGGTGTTAAAATAAACAGTGCTCTGCCTGACCAAGTTTGGGGCCAGCACTGGGATGAGACCAAATTCATCAGGATTCCTTTGGGACAAGAAAGACTGCCCTGGAATGCTATTGGTTCGGTAATCCAATGGTGTGCAATTCCGTAGATGTTTTTGGAATTGCAACAGAAAAAAAAAACAAAAAACAAAAACAAAACAAAAATTAAAAACAAGAGAAACTACTCTTTCAACTTGCCAAATGTTAAAGATATGAATTGGTCAAAATACAGCACAGACCAGACGGTGCTAAATGCGACTGGAAGTCAAAGATGCAGAGGCCTCCAGCAGCAGTTGTTTTTATGACCTGGCCAGTGTCCCAGTAGAAGTTTTAAACTGAGCTCAGTGAGTATGAAAACCTCCACCTGACACAGGTTCACCCACTGAAGCTCACTAAATTTCCAAGAACTATAATTCTCCATAATGCCTCTCCCTGTGATACTCCTTAGCTCCATTCACGCTGCTCTGCCCTCCTTTCTCAGACCCAAATGGGCAGTTTTGAAATGACGTTTTATCTTCTATTCACAACTTTTTAAGTCTACTTTCACCACTTGCCCTGAGACGATATGTCCTGATTCTCCACTCATTGCAGTAGCCAGCCCCTGTTGCTATGGTAGACAAGAGGGAAGCCACTGCCATGGCCAAGAGCCTCATGAGTCTCCTCTATGTAGTTACAGGAGTGCCCATTTCCTCACCTCAATCTGCTTTTCTCTGGTTCCATCAGGCAGAACATCTATAAACTGAATTGGGGTAAGTATACAAGTTATAGTAAAAAAGCTCTGGAGATACATTCATTAAACACACCCCTCTGAGAAATAGGAGTGTGTAAAATCTGAAGACTTACTGATCATGGTGGTGCCACCTGCTAAGGCCGCCTTTGTCCCTTGGAAGAAGTCATCTACTGTGGTCATTCCCTTATATGGCATCTGGAAGTGAGTATGGACATCGATGCCTCCAGGGATCACCATCTTCCCATTGGCTTCGATGGTTTTCACTCCTCCAGGAACAATCAGATTGTCTCCAATTTGTCTGGTGAAACAATCAAACGCCTCGTCATTTAAAAGTGCAACTTCCAAGACAAATACAGTGTTATGAGGATTTTAAACAGCGTTACTCGTATTTATCAAAGGAGTCTTTGCAAGTGACTCACAAGCTTAGCAATCTATAAAGGAAGATAGATATACATACAGAAAATAATGTTTACAGTCACAGAATAATCTGATAGGCTGTTTGGTGGGACCATGTGTCCTGGTTTAGTACTATAACCCCAGGGATTTGACAGTGTCTAGAATATATTGTGTGTAATAATTTTTAATATAAATATTTTTATTATTCCTTTCATTTTGTTCTTTAAGTTAAGGTAAGAAATAGCACTTGGAGAAGGATCTAAAGAATATAAAATAGTGCACTGTTAGAAGAGACTGAGGAAGGTTGGCCGGGCGCGGTGGCTTAAGCCTGTAATCCCAGCACTTTGGGAGGCCGAGGCGGGTGGATCACAAGGTCAAGAGATCAAGACCACCCTGGTCAACATGGTGAAACCCCGTCTCTACTAAAAATACAAAAAACTAGCTGGGCATGATGGCGCGTGCCTGTAATCCCAGCTACTTAGGAGGCTGAGGCAGGAGAATTGCCTGAACCCAGGAGGCAGAGGTTGCGGTGAGCCGAGATCGCGCCATTGCCCTCCAGCCTGGGTAACAAGAGCGAAACTCCGTCTCAAAAAAAAAAAAAAAAAGAGACTGAGGAAGGTAATAGTGAACCATTTAAAGAACAGGCATGGGAACTTACCTATCTTTTAAGTGGGGTCATCTGTGGTCCTAACAAAAGATTCTATCTGGGATATTTCCCACCCAAGTCTTCACTCCCAATTCCACCCTTTGCTAATCATTTACCAGCCAGTCACAGCTGTGAAGATTCACCAGGAGGAAGTCAAAGATGCAGATGCCTCCAGCACCAGATGGTTTTAAGACATGATCATTGTCCCAGAAGAAGCTTTTAGCTGAGCTTAGTAACTATGAAAACCTTCACTAGATAAGGCTTCACCCAGGATGCTTCAGGGCATCTCAGGGAGGAATGGAGGAGGGGAGACTCAGGCAGAAGTATGCCAATGAGTATCTCAAAGGCAAGCCTCCAAAGAAAATGACAAATACAACTAGTCCCCACACAATGCTCCTTATAGATCATCCAGTATTGCTTGCTTCCATACATGGTATCACATCTTTGACTTAAATAGCTGGTCAAACATGCCCACTATGGATACCAGGGAGACCTATGATTCATAAGCCTCTATATGACCATTAAAAATCTCCTCTCTTGGGATATCTGTACTTCACTGTCCATGGCATGAATACTTTCCCCTTTTGTTCACAGGCAGCCAAGAAAGACACTCTCTTGGGGCAGTAAGAAGTCTACCACTGGCCTGCCAAGCTCCAAGTTCTGGGACTAAAATAAAGTATTCCTGACATCTCTAAGAGTTCAACTTTACCACATCACCAAAGAGCCATTCCAGAGCCACCATAATTCAAAATATACTGGAAAAAATGCAGCCTCTGATCATAAGTCCATTCTAGTTCAGATACTGGCCAATTCTGTTCCCAGTTTTCTCTCTCATGGGTTCTCCTCTAAGGAAAATTGAGAACCAAAGGCACAAAGAATTGCCTGGCTCGTGTGTGTGTTTATGTATGTATGTTTTCATCCATTTTAACAAGTAGTTTAATACCAAGCCTGAAACAGAAATGGTTTCTCCCTTCTTTACTACCCCACCAACCAAGGCTGCATGAATCCTTGAAGCCTCAGCTTCCATCTCCCCTCCTTCATCAAGTTTCTAGCAATAGCCAAATCTCGTAAAAAGGAGTAAGGCTGTGCTCTAAATGCAGGTTATCTGCATTCAAAATCCTAGCTCTGCTAGCTACAAGCTGTGTAACCTTTGCCAAATTACCTTACTATGCCTCAATTGTTTCCTCTGTAAAATGTAACAAAAATGCCTCCTCCATAGGGTTGTGCTGCAGATTAAATGTGAATATATGTTAAGCCCATGAAACACTGTTAGGTACCTAAGAATTCGATAAATGCCAGCTATTATAATTAATAACCAGTCTACTCCCTTCTCTGAATTTCACCTATTCTATGAATGTAATACTTGATATGCTACTCCTTGGGAATGCGACATCGTTTGTATATATACCCATATCTCAATTCCCCTTAAAGACCATAAGGTCCCAGGGGGAAGACAGCATGATGATTTGGGCCCTGATAATAAGTACCAAACGGTGTAACATAGCATGAGTACAATGTCTCAAAAAACTGCTTGGCACATAGCAAGTATTCCACAAATATTCACAGACAGACAAATAACTATGTGATAGTTAGAGGAGGTTATTTCTGTTCTTAAGCTCTGTGAGTTAAGAATATTGTTGGAAACATACAGAATTTCAGGATTGAATTAGGATCATTTACTTAACCTTCTCTCCACTACCAACACACACATCAGATAGTTCAATTCCTTCTACAACATCTTTGGCAAGTGGCCTTTCAGTCTTTCTAATAGAGATGGCAAAAAGGATTCATCTTATACCTTCAACTCTGGTTGTAGATCCCTGAAGCACTGTATGAAGATGGATTGTAAACTTGTATTTAAGACTCAACTGTAAAAAGTTCTATGATCAGACAAGATGGGGCATGTTCAGGGTATGGCCACAGCATCACTCCTATTCAACATAGCACTGGAAGTTCTGGTCAGGGCAATCAGGCAAGAGAAAGAAAGAAAGGGCATTCAAATAAGAGGAGAAGAAGTCAAATTGTTTCCATTTGCAGATGATGTGATTGCATATTTAGAAAACTTCATCATCTCAGCCCAAAAACTCCGTAAGCTGATAAGCAACTTCAGCAAAGTCTCAGGATACAGAATTAATTTGCGAAAATCACAAGCATTCCTACACACCAATAATAGATGAAGAGAACCAAATTGTGAGTGAACTCCCATTCACAATTGCTACAAAGAGAATAAAATACCTAGGAATACAACTTACAAGGTATGTGAAGGACCTCTTTAAGGAGAACTACAAACCACTGCTCAAGGAAATAGGAGAGAACACAAACAAATGGAAAAACATTCCATGTCATGGATAGGAAGATTCAATATTGTGAAAATGGCAATACTGCCTAAAGTAGTTTGTAGATTCATTGCTATTCCTATCAAGCTACCATTGCCTTTCTTCACAGAATTATAAAAAACTACTTTAAATTTCATGAATAATAATACTAATAATAATAAGCCTGTATAGCCAAGACAATCCTAAGCAAAAAAGAACAAACTACCTAACTTCAAATTATACTACAAGGATACACTAACCAAAATAGCATGGTACTGGTACCAAAACAGGTATGTAGACCAATGGAACAGAACAGAGGCTTCAGAAATAACACTACACATCTACAACCATCTGATCCTTGACAAACCTGACAAAAACAAGCAATGGAGAAAGGATTCTCTAGCTAATAACTGGTATTGGGAAAACTGGCTAGCCATATGCAGAAAACTGAAACTGGAACCCTTCCTTACACTTTATACAAAAATTAACTCAAGATGGATTAAAGACTTAAACCTAAGACCTAAAATCATAAAAACCCTAGAATAAAACCTAGGCAATACCATTCAGAACACAGGCATGGCAAAACTTCATGACTAAAACACCAAAAGCAATGGCAACAAAAGCCAAAATTGACAAATGGAATTTAATCAAACTAAAGAGCTTCTTTACAACAAAAGAAACTATCAACAGAGTGAACAGGCAACCTACAGAATGAGAGAAAATTTTTACAATCTACCTATCTGACAAAGGGCTAATATCTAGAATCTACATGGAACTTAAACAAATTTACAGAAAAAAAAAACAAACAACCCCATCAAAAAGTGGGCAAAGGATATGAACAGATACTTCTCAAAAGAAGACATTTATGTGGCCAAGAAACATGTGGAAAAAAGCTCATCATCACTGGTCATCAGAGAAATGCAAATCAAAACCACAATGAGATACCATCTCACGCCAGTTAGAATGGCAATTATTAAAAAGTCAAGAAACAACAGATGCTGGAGGGGATGTGGAGAAACAGGAATGCTTTTACACTGTTGGTGGGAGTGTAAGTTAGTTCAATCATTGTGGAAGACAGTGTGGTAATTACTCAAGGATCTAGAACCAGAAATACCACTTGACCCAGCAATCCCATTACGGGTATATACCCAAAGGATTCTAAGTCATTCTACTCTAAAGACACATGCACACATATGTTTATTGCAGCACTATTCACAATAGCAAAGACTTGGACCCAACTCAAATGCCCATCAATGATAGACTAGAGAAAGAAAATGTGGCACATATACACCATGGAAAACTATGCAGCCATAAAAAAACGATGAGTTCATGTCCTTTGCAGGGACATGGATGAAGCTAAAAACCATCATTCTTAGCAAACTAACACAGGAACAGAAAACCAAACACCGCATGTTCTCACTCCTAAGTGGGAGTTGAACAACGAGAACATACGGGCACAGGGAAGAGAACATCATACACCAGGCACACCAGGGCCTGTCAGTGGGTGGGGATGTGGGAGGGATAGCTTTAAGAGAAATACCTAGCCGGGCGCAGTGGCTCAAGCCTGTAATACCAGCACTTTGGGAGGCCGAGGCGGGTGGATCACGAGGTCGAGAGTTCGAGACCATCCTGGTCGACATGGTGAAACCCCGTCTCTACTAAAAATACAAAAAATCAGCTGGGCATGGTGGCGTGTGCCTGTAATCCCAGCTACTCAGGAGGCTGAGGCAGGAGAATTGCCTGAACCCAGGAGGCGGAGGTTGCGGTGAGCCGAGATCGCGCCATTGCACTCCAGCCTGGGTAACAAGACCGAAACTCCGTCTCAAAAAAAAAAAAAAAAAAAAAAAGAGAAATACCTAATGTAGATGACAGGTTGATGGGTGTAGCAAACCACCATGGCACATATATACCTATGTAACAAACCTGCACGTTCTGCACATGCATCCCAGAACTTAAAGTATTAAAAAAAAAATTCTGTGAATAATTAGTGCTGCCTATCATGAGCTCTAAAAGGAGGAAGCATTTGGCAACAAATTTTTCTCATTTTTGCAAATCTCTAAATGAGAAAACTTGCTACCTCCAAATAGAGCCAACTATACATAATAATATTTTAGTGAATAGAAAAACATAAAATCAATTGTAGCTTATATTTTGAAGAGATTATTGTCATATTTTTTGGTTTGCTCATTGTTTCCATTTCTCTTACTTCCAATATGGAAAAGTAATAACGTAAATTGGCAAGGTAACTATGTTTGTTCTTACATTTGTTCATTCATTCATTCATTCACTCGCTCATTCATTCAATGTATTTGACAAATACATTAACCTTTAGCAAATTATTTACTCTCTATATGCCTTTTTATCCTCATCTCAGGAAAGAGGATAGTAATAGTACAGTACTTACTTTGGAGGTCTGCTGGCTGATTGAATGAGAGAAAGCATGCAAAACATTTAACATTCTCCCTGGCACATATTACACACTAAATAAAAAGTAGCTATTATCAAATCTTTATGTGCTAAGTTCTGAGTTAAGTATTGGGGATATGGAATGAACAAGATACGTAAGTAAGATATGAGAGTAAGTAAGTCTTCTTACTCTCAGAGGAGACTAACCGTGTCAGAATTGCTATGATTAATGAAAGCACAAGCTGGTCTGTCTGTTTGTTTGTTTTTTGAGGTGGAGTCTCCCTCTGTCACCCAAGGTGTAGTGCTAGAGTGCAGTGGCATGATCTTGGCTCACTGCAACCTCTGCCTCCTGGGTTCAAGTGATTCTCTTGCCTCAGGCTCCCGAGTAGCTGGGATTACAGGCATGCACCACCACACCCGGCTAATTTTTGTATTTTTGGCAGAGACAGGGTTTCACCATGTTTCCTAGGCTAATTTCAAACTCCTGAGCTCAAGTGATCCACCTGCCTCAGTCTCCCAAAGTGATGAGATTACAGGCATGAGCCACCATGGCCAGCTGGGCACAAGCTGCATTGAGCTCACATGGAAGGGAAAGCTCGTCTAGACTTGGAGGCTGGTAAAAAACACTGGTCTGCAGAAACTATATCTAAGCCAACTTTTCAAAGATAAGCGAGAGATTTCTTATAACCAGAATCTTTAACTAGTCAATGAAGTTAAGCCATATAAAAATAAAATTGAAAGGGGTCAGAGGGGGCTAATAGAATGGGTTGGATACACCAGTCTTATACAACATCTTAACGGCATGGTAGTATACTTTGTTTCTGTAATGAAACACTATGTAAATCAAATCCTCTTTTAAAGTTCACTATGTAGGAAACCTACACATAAAACTCACCTGGCGGCCAGATGCAGTGGCTTACACCTGTAATCCCAGAACTTTGGGAAGCGGAGGCAGGTGGTTTATTAGGTCAGGAGATCGAGACCATCCTGGCCAACATGGTGAAACCCCGTCTCTACCAAAAATACAAAAATTAGCTGGGTATGGTGGTGTGTAACTATAATCCCAGCTACTTGGGAGGTTGAGGCAGGAGAATCGTTTGAGCCAGGGAGTCGGAGGTTACAGTGAGCTGAGATCACTCCACTGCACTCCAGCCTGGTGGCATCCTATAGTATACCATTTTAGAATGTAATCAGACATCCCTAATGAATTTATTTGGAAAACTTGCCTGAAATATATGTCCTATCTGTGCTCTACTCACCTAAGTTCTATCCTTATGTCAAGGTTCAGTTTAAATACTCTCTCCACCCCAAAGCCTTACTTCTAAATGAATTTCTCCTCCTTAGTACTTCTAAATGACTTATCTTGACTTCAACTCCTTTGATACTTATTGTACAAAGCCTTATATTTTTAGGATGCGGTAATTTGTGCACATTTTACAGGATCCTTAAGGATGACGGCCACATTTTCCACTTTTCCATGAACCATAGAATACTCATCAATACTTTCTGCATAAAGTTGCCCTCAGGGCCGAGCACGGTAGCTCACACCTGTAATCCCAGCACTTTGGGAGGCCGGCGCGGGGGGATCACGAGGTCAAGAGATCGAGACCATCCCGGTCAACATGGTGAAACCCCGTCTCTACTAAAAATACAAAAAATTAGCTGGGCATGGTGGCGCGTGCCTGTAATCCCAGCTACTCAGGAGGCTGAGGCAGGAGAATTGCCTGAACCCAGGAAGCGGAGGTTGCCGTGAGCCGAGATCGCGCCATTGCACTCCAGCCTGGGTAACAAGAGCGAAACTCCGTCTCAAAAAAAAAAAAAAAAAAAAAAAAAAAAAAAAGTTGCCCTCAGTATAATTTCATTCTGTTGATTAAATTCAGATTTTTTTTTTCACTACATTCATGTAATTCAAGTTTCTTTATGGGCCATTAATGAAGTGAGGAATTGCAAAACGATAAAGCAAAGAAGTTCCATATACATACTTTATTAAGCCATCTTCCATGTAAATATCAGCATAAAAGGACTGATCATCGTTGACAATTCGGCCTCCCTTGATAAGGAGACGGTCACTCTAGAAAAGAAGGGAAACATGAGTCATTATCACAGACAGTATTTCAGAGAAGAGTGGTCTGCCAGGTTTTCCCAATTCATGTTCTAGATGTCTAGTAGAAACACGTTTACCAAAGACATCTGTGTGTTCAATGCACTCAACGTTTAAAGAGGTGTATTTGCTGGGGATCCAGTCTTTCTTGTTTGCCCTTAATTCAAATTATTCTGGAGTTTCATCTCTTGCTTCTGCAATCATTTAATATTATAGCCATCTGGAAACACAGCTATTCAAGTAAGTGAGACATTCTTTATATTTTCTGATTCAGTATGCACTAAATATTTAAAGTGGGACAACATATACCTCAGTGCCTAGTGCACTCTTTGGTACTCTGTTGACACTCAATAACGATTCTCAAAAATAGAACTTATGATGAGGCGTGTAAGGAAAACAGGGTTTTAGAAGTATTTGTAATGACATGAGGACATGCTCAGATCACGATTATATCTAAAACTCAAGATACTTACGAATGTATGCACAAGTACACACAATGTTGTAAAATGTATAAGAAAACCACCAGAGGGAAAAAAGGCAAAGTATCTATAGTATTTAACTCACAGTGGAGAAACTATGTGGGATTTATATTTACCTCATTATACTCAATATTTCTCACATTTTCTGAATGCATTTCTTTATTGCTTTAATTATGAGAAAAATAAAGCCTTTTTAAAAAATTATAACTTAGATGAAATTTGAATGATTTAACCAACTGAAAACAATGCAAATATACTCCAAAGTTATTAACAAAGTAAACATATACTTATTATATATAAGTCAGGAGAGGGACAAATCAGTGTTAACTTTACAGATCACAGATTTCATTAAATGAATGGAGTTTAGACTGGAGTATGAGGGATGGATGCAGCTTTGTTGGGTTCATGGAGGAGAAAACAATTCCAAGGAGTCTGACTGAGTGTAGCCATAGCATGAATAAAGAATGAGAGGCTGGACTTTGTGAAGAATTCAGCTTCACAAAGAGATTTCAACTCCATCCATCCATCCATCCATCCATCCGTCCGTCCCTCTTTCCATCCATCCCTCCCCAGGTCATTGCTTTTGTGGTGCTTAAAGGGAAAGTCTGGCAATAAAGAAATAAAGTCAACAAAACAAGTCAAGCAATCTGCAATTACAGTAAGTGTCACAAAATATAGGGGAGTGGATTTGTTTAGAGACTGTAAAACATCTTTTCAGGGAAGAGCAATTAGATGGGGGGTGGGGTGAAGAATTTCTGCAGGTAGAAGGAATAGCACGTGCACAAGCCCAGAGGTAGGACTAAGTTTGTTTCTCTGAAAACCTGAAAAAGCTCAATATGGAAGGTGTTTAGGGTTCAAGGAAGAAAGTGGCATTAAATCAGGTTGGGGGAGGTAGGCAGGCTACTCACGATGGGTTTGGTAGGAGCTTGGGTTTGAATGAAAATACAGAGACATACGTCAGGATTGTAAACAGAGGAGTGAATACCTGTGTTGAGAAGTCAGCTGTGGACTGCACTGCTCAGGGCAAATGTTCTCCATGGCTATTTGACTATGGGGATTAAGAGTCATTGATCAAGGGGTCAAGGGCAGGGAGATACCATATGCAAGGCCAACCATGGTCATCATTCCCTTGACGCTGATTCTCTAAGCTCCTGTTTAAGAAGACCAGCTTTCCAAGAGGACATAAATTTTATGGAGGAGGGGACCTCCACAACCAGGCTGAATTCTAGGTTCAGAAATGAAAGGGCCAGAAAAGGGGATTTGAAGGTAGGCCTCATCTGGGATACAGAAAATTACCACTTAGTTTCTCCTGCTCTTCAAAGGTATTGCATAAGAAGAAATTTCATCATGTCATATTGTCAGGGGAAAATATGTCTTTTTTAAAGATAAACATCAACAAGTTATTTCGAAACAAACTACACAGGAGGCAAGGAAGACATGCCTATGAGGTCAAATACAAATGCCCACCACGTATGATATACAAGCCCCTCGTGATCTGGTCTGTCAATATGTCCACCCTCATTTCTATCATGTATTGCCTATATTTAAAAATAACATGACATGCAGTTCTTGTCACATTATCAGGCTCTCTATCCTCATATAATCACTTGACATCTAGCAGTCATCTCCTTTGTCAAGGCTCCAAAGGGCTTCTCCTCCAGGATGTGTGACTTGACTTTCCAGCAAATTTCACCTGCTCCCATTGCAATTTAGTTAGAAAAATAACAATGTTCTACTGTAGCTGATTTATTGTTCAATTATCTCCTGACTAAACCAAAGACTCCTTTAGTCTTGGAACAATGTGTCTTTTGATATTTTCACCTTAGTTCCTCAAGCTCATCCTAGACAGCTGTTCCATATTGGTTGAATGAATAGGTGAACGGTGGGACACAGGAGGTTGTATTATAGCCACATGATCGAAGGGTGTCTGGGTCAGAATATTGTGGGAAGTGGACAAAAATTAGAGCTCTAAGAAAAAAAAGATGGCTTGGTGATCTACTATTTTAACAGTACTGCAAAATTCTATGAGGCAGTCTTAGGTGTGTGCTTCCAAACTAGTGTGTACATTAGAAAAATACATATTCCCAGGCTATGCTCTATGTCACCAAATCTGTATTTTATAAGCTCCTTATGGAGCCATCAGCCAGCTCAGCACCAAGTCACAGACCGGTACAAGGAACTACTGCCCACCTTGCTGCCCCCAGCACTAATCCACAGTTTTGTGTGTGTCCAGGAAGGTGACAGAGCATCTGCAATAGGAGCTTCATAATAATCACAATCTTGGTAACTGTAAGAGTCCCATCTCATAGCTCAATGCTTCTCTGATGGTCTTTATCTTTCCAGCAAACAGCTGAACTAAAGTAGTTTTTGGAAAGGAGCCAATTTCTGTCTGAACTGAAAACAGTTATGAAATATGACCAGCCTACGACATCCAGCCCTGAGCCACTGGTGTGATCATCACTCCCTTCAACAGGCATCAAATGTCAGCAAAGGGACAAATGCTATCTCCAGCCCTATGTACATCAGGGGGATAGCAAGCGCTGATCCAAGTGGAATTAACACCACTGAGATGGTGTTAATAGGAACTTTTCAAATGGTCATTAAATACAATATTTCTGACTCAATAATCAAGAATCTAAACAGAACCCAAAGCTGAATTATAGGCCTGGTGTAGGTTTCAGAGAAGAGATTAAGAAGACCGTTGCTCAATGGGCTATAAGTATTAATATTATTGTTATTTGTTTTCATCATGCAGAGCGAAAATATCAAAACCTGAACTTACAGAGCTCAAATAAACGCTTTCCCTAGGGGTCATCTGCTTGCCCTGCTATCCTCCCCAACTGTAACTCTTTCCATGGAAGGGGAATCAACTACAAAGGACAGCCTACACGAATTAGTCATCAACAAAGAGGAACCTGAAAGGTAATTCTTGGGCTTGGCACTGAGGAGTGTGAGTATGAGGTATGCCATAACCACTGACCACCCCCAGGTCACATAAAATCAAACCTCACAGGACACAAAAAAAAGTTTGTCTATGAATTCATGGATGAGACTGATAGATTAACACATAACGGGATCAAAAGCCAGCAAGATGAACAAACCCAACATCTCTGATTAAAAATTGCTCTCTTTTCTGCAGGTACATGGATGGAGCTGGAAGCCACTATCCTTACCAAACTAACACAGAATAGAAAACCAAACCCTGCATGTTCTCACTTATAAGTGGGAGCTGAACAATGAGAACACATGGACACAGGGAGGGGAACAACACACACTAGGGCCTGTTGCAGTGGGTGGGGTGCCAGGAGGAGGAAGAGCATCAGGATCAATAGCTAATGCCCGCTGGGCTTAATGCCTAGATGATGGGTTGACAGATGTAGCAAACCACCATGGCACATGTTTACCTCTGTAACAAACCTGCACATCCTATACATGTATCCCAGAATTTAAAATAAAATAATAAAATAAAATAATTGCCCTCAGTGATGACTACGGTTCAGTAGGACTCTTCACTTTCTGTTCCTGGCAGCCAAGACTGCCAAGCATCCATCAGCTGATGCCTGAGGAAGTCACATGGTCTTGTCTACAAGTTAGCAGTCTTTCTAATGTAATTATATATATAAATAATTATGATACCCCTAGGGCATGCTGTGGTCATCTGAAGGGTATCTGGGACCCAAAATGAATCTATTCAGAACCTGAAGCGATCAGCCACTGACCTGCCTTAGACCCTGCACAGCTACCAAGAGGTGAGTGTGTCACTATCTTGCCGCCCAGTGGGGTTCTAGGCATACCAGCTGGCAAGTCTGGATCCAGCTGGGTTTTCCCTCTGCTGGGAGAATCAGACAGACCACTTAACTAGGTCTGTGATCTCGAGTTTGGACTTAACCTCTCAGAGTATCTTTTTTCTTCATCAGCCCAGAGTGGATAATAATACTTAGCTTGCCTCACAGGGTGGCTGCCAGTGTGTGTGTGTGTGTGTGTGTGTGTGTGCACGCGTAAGTAATCTAACACACAAGCACACAAGTAAATAGCTAATAAATATTATATTTATTCCATTAATATTATTTATAATACTTTGAATGTTTTTAAGCCTTAAGAAGTATGTTGGTGAGAGACTACTGTTTCCATTTTCCAAATGGGGTGATACAGAGAGAGAGGTGAGTGACCTTCTCCAGGTGACAGAGTATATTAGTTCCAATTGGAAGTAAATCCAGGTCTCCCATCTCCTGGAACAGCACTGATTTCTCCTAGGCCCCTGTACCAAGTGTCTTTAAACCTTATTACAAGTGGCTTTTTCTGACAGGGCTGTCTTCTCTGTTTAATATTGAATTTGCTCCAGTGTCCAAACTGCTGACCAGTTCTCTGAGGTAAGTAGCTTTAGGAATCCAACTTTCAAGCCACTACTTATAAAATCAGTGCAATAAACCTGCCCCTTATGACCTGACTATGTTAATATAGTTTATAAAGGGATCTACTTTGCAATCCAGC